CCCTTTAGGGTCTCCCGTATACTCTGTGTGCCTCAGTGCCAGGATCCCCACCCCACCCTAGTGCATTAGCCATTGATTGCAGATAAGCTGACTCTAGTCTGCAATACTAGAAAGATCTAAGAAAAGAAAGAGCGAGGTTGCTAGTAAAAATGATCTCAAGCTCTCTCAGTTCTAATTAAAAGTTATTTGTCCAATGGGCATTTGGATAGCTAGTTAAAACACACATCTCTCATGTATGGTCAGGAAAAGCCCCCCTCCCCATTTTTGTGTGTTAGCAGACTGGAGAAAGTAAGTGCTGGGGGTTGGGGGGGGTGGAGAGTGGAAAAAATGGCTGAAGCACTGGGACCCCATTTCCCCCCTAAAAGCTTTGCTCCCTTCCTTTGATCACTGTACTGCTTCAATCTTCATATTGTGTTTCTTTTTACCACTATGTGACCCCTGAGCCAAGGAGATAAGTAACAATACAAGCTTTAGAATACATCTGAAGGCAGGCCTGTATAGAAGTTTTTTTTTAAAAAATTAATGTTTTTTGTTATGCTTTTTTATAGGTTAGAAGCTGCCCAGAGTAGCTGGGGCAACCCAGTCAGTTGGGCAGGGTATAAATATTATTATTATTATTACTATTATTATCAAATAGGATGTCCCTATTTTTTATCGGAGAAATGTTGGTGGGTATGAAAAAGTGAGAGGGGAAATGCAGTGGAAAGCACAAAATAACAGCCAAGTGCTTGCAATGTCATGTAGCTTCTTTGGAAACATATAAGCATGACTGCTCACTAAACAACCCATTTAGAAGCTTTCACTCTTCCTTCTGACTCCCTCTTGAGGCTTATATATTATCAGTAGATGTCTGGAGGCTTGCAGCCTGTATTGTCAGCACCAGCCTTATCCACCTGTAGCGCATCCTGGCTAATTACTGGTTGCACTCCTCATGAGCAAGTGGCCAGTCTAACAGCTGCTTCTTCACATCCAGGTCCTCAAAATGTTCTAAAAAGGGTGGTTTGCCTACTGATGGAGTGGGGGAAATGTTTAGCTTTGTTAATGTTCCCACCCATCTTTTTAAACTATGTTGGTGCTGTCTTTTCATATCTATTTCTTCTCATCAAAAGCCACAGTACATAGGGGTGGCTGTTTAGTTGTTTAGTCATGTCCGACTCTTTGTGACCCCATGGACCAGAGCACACCAGGCACTCCTGTCTTCCACTGTCTCCCGCAGTTTGGTCAAACTCATGTTAGTAGGTTCGAGAACGCTGTCCAACTATCTCGTGCTCAGTCGTCCCCTTCTTCTTGTGCCCTCCATCTTTCCCAACATCAGGGTCTTTTCCAGGGAGTCTTCTCTTCTCATGAGGTGGCCAAAGTACTGGAGCCTCAGCTTCACGATCTGTCCTTCCAGTGAGCACTCAGGGCTGATGTGCATAGCGGTAAGCAACCATATTCACCCTGACTCACTTTAAAAGTTGCTTAAAAACATTTGGACACTGGAAACCCTCTGTAAAGCAACACTTGGAAAGTTTAATGCCTTTCATTCATTTCTATGAAAGGTCTGCCACTTGCACAATCTTCTCAAACACCTTGACAATTCTACAGTGAAACAGACATTGTTCCATTGAATAATTGTGGAAGAATTCATTGATTGCCTCCCACCCTTTTTCCACCTGCCCTCCCACTTCATACATTCTTTATGAAATCACATTCATTCTCTTGGATGAGGAAAGGAACAAGAGAATGACATACAGACTGAAATTGCTTGATAACTACTGCTGAAATGAAAGCCTTGGGAGAATAATCAATAAAAAGGGAAAGGCTGCTTTATTTGGTGAGTCAATGAAGAAAAACACAAGGCAAGCAAAACTAGACAGGATGCCAGTAATGTTAGAGGAAGAGTTTGTAAAGAAAGTCTTGACATTTTTGAGGGACTGAATAGTTTGCTGGACAGCAAAAGGAGGTGGCTTGGAACTTCCATCAGCTGTATGTTTCAGAAGGTATGCTTCTCAACTGCCATTGATGGGAAGCCCCACTGGGCTTGATTGCATTAAGAAGTTACCCCTTGGGATGGGGTGGTTTCAATACAAAGCGCTTATGAGTGGATTTCAGAAGGGATGGCTCTGCACACTAATCAGCTGATTGGTGCACAGAGCCAGCCCCTTTAAACTTGTTTACCTGACATCATCATAATGCCAGGTGATTGACAGATAGGTGGTCCCACAAGGGTAGGAAGGTTCTAGCTCACCAGCCGGATCCAGTTATCCACTCCTAATCTAGGTGGCAACAAACAAATTTCATTTTACATAACAGTATTTTGGGGGTGCCAGCTACCTCCTTCTGGAGATCCAATGTGGCAGCAGTGGGCTTTGGCTGTCAGTTGGAATATTTTAAGTTCACCTATGTTCAACCTGTGTATTTGTAAATAAATGCAAATATTACAAAATCCAATACACCTCCAGTAATCCTTCGTTTGAAAGGCAAACACAAGCCTCTGGAGCTTGTCACAGCTCAGACAAGCAGAGAAAGCATAATAATATATACAGATTTAATTTATAGAAGTCTAAATGCAATCACTAACAGGCCACTGAGTGGAAGTCCTAGTAATGAATATAAGCACCAGTAATGAATACACATCTGGATGCACTTCAGTGAGCTGCAGGCATAAAAGAAAGCATTACATTTATCCAAATTATCTCAGTAGTTCTTAGTTGCATTCTCTTGCAAACATTTAGCATTTTGCACATAGATGAAAGTGCAGCAGCATCTTGTGCTAAAGAATGTGCATGGATTGAAGCTGGGACATAGCAGAAAGCCCTTTCCATGTTCACAGACCACTGTATAGATCTCCTAAATATGTAGATATTGGTAAGAATATTGTCCATTTCAATACCTTTTTTGTGTTTGCTATAGACTATTCTAACAATATGTATGAATATTATACTGGTTCAGCAACTTATATAGAGTTTAGAAATACAATTTTATAAACAAACTTATGCGGAGGAGCAACGGAGGAGCATCTTTTTGTATGATACGATCAATCTGTAAATGTTAATCCATTCTAATAAGCTAATCATCTTCATTGTACTTGTGTGCTATAGCCTGGCTGACAGGATTTGTTCAGGAGCCCAGAAAGGATTAATTGGGATTCTAATGAATTTGCACTGAAATCACTCAATTTCACTGCCACTCTACCCTTGTTCTATAGTCCTTCTGCATCACTGTACCCAATGAGAGGAGAACCTAACCTCTATCTGAGTTAATGAAGCTAGGACAATGTAAGCATGAGAACACAAAAAACTTCTGACACTCTATTTCATAAAATATATATTGCCTATGATTGTTTTTCTATGTTGGCTGAAAAAAATATCTGTGTTGCTTTCTCACATCATGGAATAATTATGGCCAGGCTCAGGCTCTGGGATCTTCGTGAGTCAAAGGAAGAGTAAAAGCTTCTCAATGACAGGGTACAGCTCCCAGGCAATTTGGAGTCCAACAGCTCTTTCTTTTCTTCAAATAATTGCTCTTCTTTTGATTTGCTGTAATAACAGATGAATCATTAAGGTCATCCTAAACCTAGTGACTTTGGGCATGTTGACCAGTTGCTCTTTGATGTTTTTGTGTGTGACAGTTCTGCTGGCTGATCATCATTAACCTGCCTCCATGTTGACCCAGGTTTTGTTAATGTTCTAGGGAATGGTGTAAACCCTCTAGCTATCACTCTCAAAACATTTCACCCCATAGTGACTTTGTTGTATCAGCTACCATCTCAACATTTCATCTGAATCTACTCCTACCTATCTAGCAAGTAACACCTTCCAGTTTCCCAGGCTGCAAAGTGATGGTAGAGAAGTCCATTTGTAACTGCGCTTCTCATGATGACCCCACCATCAGGTTTTGTTTTTTAAAAATATTTTTATTAGATTTATATACATATATTCACCCCACCAATAGTTTTTGCAAAAGTCACAGAGGTTAGCAGCTGTATGTCAACTGCCCTATAGCTGCATAAATTGAGTTGATGTCATTTGTAGTTCTGTGTTACTCCCAAACTGAATAGTAAGGCCTTCACAGTTTTGGAAAATGGAGCACCCTAGAGGCATGGTTAGGACTGCAGCCTTTGTAAACAGAGCTAAAGTAAGGCTATAGAAAAAATGGCTCAAGCCATAGGTGGCAGGTTTAACAGACAGAGCCTGTTTCTACAGCACTAGATTTTCCCTTTCAGAAAAGGTTTCTTAATGGACCACATTAGGGCATGCAAAGGAACTCAACTTATTTCAGCAAGTTAGGGCCACTTCCTTCCAGTGATATGGTTGTTTTTGCTTTTCTCTTTCTGCAGATGGGCCACCTATTGCCACCTTTTAGGCTGCAAATCTGTGCAGTCTAAAAATCCTGTTTAACTCCATAAGACTTACTTTTTAACTAACATAGCACCCGGCGTTTTAACACCCACATGTACCTCGATGTTATTGTTGGACAGATCCCCATCTACTTCGCTTTTCCATTAACATTCCAGTTATCCTGATTACAAACTCAGGGTAGCTCTATGCTCCCCTTCCCCTTCCTTTGGTTGTAATCTCTCTCGCTCTCTTTCGCCCCTTCCTAAAACAAGGGAAAGAGGCGGCAAATTTTTTTTTAAAAAATAATCTGGGAGAACTGGGACGTGAGAAAGTGCTGGAGTCAAGAGTGGAGGATGCACCGCATACAGGGCGTGGGATGCAGCTGGGAAAACTTCCGCTTTGGTGGAATTCTGCCGGCTGACTTAAAACCGAGGAACACTCCTGGGTTGTGGAACGCGGAGCTCTGCAGCTTTCACCGTCGGGATTCAGTAGGGCTGCTCCTGCTGTCGAGCCCCCGCGTCCCCTTCCTGCATGACCATTGAGATTGACAGTTGCATGGCAGGCGATGCTCTGCGCGCGGAGAGAAGCCCAATGGTAACGGAGGCACGGCTAAGGCGCCTCCCGGATTGCTTCCGGGCACCAGATCTCTGGAAAGCGATGTGCTCCCTAATGGCCAGGCCCCGGCTCTCGTCCGTGGAAGGCGAGGCGTGCCTTGCCCAGGCTGCTCCAATCGCTTCCAGGCAGAGAGGCGGGGACGGCGGGAGGGAGGCGGGTAGGCTGCCACCGCGCGCGCATACACCCACCAGCTCGCTCGCCAGGAAGGCCCTGCTGGGGCTGCAGCCCCCTTTCTGGGCGTGTGGCTGCCTCCGCCTCTCGGGGAAGGTTATGCACTTGTGATTCCCTTTCTTCCTCCTCCTCCTCCTGCCGCTTCCTCCTTTATGCCAGTGGAGACCCTCTGTGCCTGACTAGCCCATGAGCCTCCTCGGGAGCTACCGGAAAAAGACCAACAATGATGGCTATGAATCTTTGCAGCTCGTGGACAGCAACGGTGACTTCTGCGGCAGCCGGGAGCGAACCGGCGGCGGCGGAGGCGGCGGCAGCATCAGCAAACAAGGGGTGATCCCCGCGGTGGTGGCGGCAGCAGCAGCAGCCCGGAGCCCAGCGCGACAGCAGCACCAGCCGCTCGACTGCAGCACCATGGACAGCTCAGGTAGCGGCTTTAACTTCTTGGCCGGGGAGGGGAAGGAGGCTGTGGGTGATGGGAGGCTCTGGTTACAGCCCCACCTTGCTTCCCAGCAAGATCTGAGAGGCCCAGGCGTGCTCTGGTGCTGGGAGGATGGCAAGGCTGGCCGGGGTCCAGGCCATCCTCCGGTTTCTGAGGCAAGGAAACCTAAGAGGGCCCGGTGTTGCAAATTTAAAGAGCTTTGAAGACCAGCTAATGAGGAAACGTATCCCAGCTGTCACTCTCTTCTGTTAATTGATGGGGAAAGGAGTGAGGAGAGATGCAAAGGAACTGCTGAGGTCAGTGTATTGTTCTCAGGATGTGTGCTAAGTGGGCAGGAGAGTGATGGAGGGAAGATGGCTTAGGTATCGTTGGCTGGTGGTGTGCCTTATTAACATAAGTGAAGAAATCATAGTAAACTCAGGGTGATCACTGGAAAGAAGGAAAATGTATTTTTCAGAAAGTATTGGGTCCATGTCCAGTTTATCTTATGGTGAACACGCTTAAGAGCAGTTTTAAAAGGACCACATTATAAGAGTGGAAAAAGTGCTTTGGGTCATTGTTTAATGGGGGTAAAATACAACTGAATATCAGATGTGGAATAAATGTTGATGTTGTATTGGAAATGAAGGCTACTAAACAATGGCTCATTTATTTCTGCAAACAACTATCCTGAGTGGCTTGGCCAAAAGAGTTCTTTTGTTATCTGTAAACGCTAACAAGCATGCTGGTATTGTCTCTAGATCTATTGATAGGGAACAACACAAGAATAAATTAGGAAACACTGCTTTATTGGCAGGTAAATAAAGTTGTGCCCTCTCACAATAGCAAAGGGAAGGAAAGCTTGAATGTAATTTTGCTGGAATGTTTTCTTCATGACCAGTGGAATTAGACTGGCATGCTGCATGAGTTGGGAAACTACCCCCACCCCTTGCTAAATCTTCCAATTGTATAGCCAGATGGCTCCCAGGATTGGTAATGAGAAGCTATGCACTTCAGGGGTCCTGGTTCAGATTGGCCTGGATTGCTGAGAGTAGTTATTGATGGATTATCAGCTATGTACTGAAATGTGTGGATGGGTGTGTTCCTTCCTTCCTTCCTTCCTTTTTCTTTCTTTATTTTTTTAAAAAAGGTATTTCAATACTATTGATACCAGCTGTGTTTGCTAACAATTTTATCCATAGCTCTGTTTCATTTCTGACGCTAGCTTCCTTTTTCCTCCAGAGAACATCTTCTTGATGTATAAGCAGTTTCCACAAAGTGATGTGCTGCCAGTCCGTTTAAAAATATATTCTCATATCCAGTGAAGTGGAATCCCAAAGCACAACTGTTAGAGTGAGAATCTGATAGTCTACAAGTACTTAGTCCCCATCCTTGAATTTATGTGGTGTGATTAACTTGGTTGATATAAAGAGGAGTGGACTTGAGAACTGGTTTATTCACTGTCTCAAGGTTGGGGGTAGAATTCCAGATGCTTTACATGATATAAGAGTAATACACATGATGAACCATATGACCTGAATTTGGGAGTCCAGTTTATAATACAATACTACTGAAGTAATGGTTTATTTTAAAAAAATAGACTCCATGTAGGTTTCAAAATGGTGGAAGAAGAACTAATGCTTCTTTTCAAAACTATCTGCCAGGATTACTCCTCTTCCCCCAATGAGCTGAGCAGATGTTAAATTGTAGCCTGTGCTGGCTAGGCCTGATGGGAGTTGTGACATGAAGTGCTTGGAGGACACCAGGCTGAGGAAGACTAGTATAGTCACACACAATGCGTTACCTCCACTTGGTAATTAGCAAAAGGCCGAATCCCAGTTTACATGCATCAGTTCGTTTTAAACAAACAGGTGTGTTTAGTGTTAGTGTGCACCCACAATGGAATAACTTTGATCTAAGAAACCCTTGTCTTGGTCTTGTAGAGGTAAGGAGTCTTTTTTCCTAATTGTTACTGATCAGAGAAGGATGTAAGGGGTAAAGCTTTGGTTTCTCTTGGAATAGAAGGAGAAATGAGGTCTGTGCAAACTCATAAATTGTGCTGGACTTTCCAGGTACAGTTCAACCCTCTTGACCCTTGCCCATCTTGGCTTCTTAAAGCTAACCATAGGAGATTAATAGGGTCCAGGGAGTGATTGGTGCTTCATTGGAATGGGTGAGGAACCATTTGTTTTGAAGTAGGCGGTGGTGTGTCCACTCTTTAAGAGAACCTCCTTAGACCTGGAATTCAGTGGCAAATATCCTCTTTTTGGAGAAGGTGCTTGAGAGGATCGTTGCAATTGAGCTTCAGACATGCTTGGAGGAAAATGAATGTCTGGATCCATTTCAGTCTAGCCTCAGGCCCATTCATGGCCCTAAACTGTCTTGATCACAGTGGTTGATACATTTGTTAGAAGAGAGATGGAGGGGAGTGCAATCCTGTTTATTCTTCTTAGAGGCTTTTGATACCATTGACCATGGCATCCTTCTGGAGCAGCTCAATGAGGTGGTGTTTGAGGGCACTGTATTTCAGTGGTTCCACTCCTACCTCCAGGGTCATTTCTAGAAAGCATTTATGGAAGGCCACTGACACCATTGAAGTTCCCTGTGGTGTTCTATAGGATTCCAACTCGTCCCCCATGCTATTTAACACCTATATGAAGTCCCTGGGAACTGTCACCAGCAGTTTTGGAGTGAAGTGTTACTAATATGTGGGTAGCACTTCTATCTCTCTGTTCCATATGAATCAAGAGAGGTGGCTGAGGTATGAACGCAATGATGTGGGCCAACAACTGGAAACTGAAGCCTGAAAGGACAAAGGTGTTATGTGTTCCAAGTCTTGAGTTGAAGAGGTTCTGTACAGGATTGCAGTCCCCTGGAAGGATCAGGCTCTTTTAATACCTTTTTGTCCCAAGACCGTAACATTCTAAATGGCAAATCCAAATACAGTTAATAATAACATAAGACCCCTTCTGGATCAGGCCAAAGGATTGTCTAGTCCAGGATCCTTTTTTCCAGCAGTGAAAAACCAGATGGCAATGGAAAGCCCACAACTGGGACATGAGGGCAATACCAACTCCCGATGCTTTAGCACATTGCCTCTGATCTTGGAGGTAGTCATTTTGGTTCTTTTAAAATTATCGGATAGATTTCTAGTACAATGTTTAGAGTGTTTATTTTCCTTAAATGGCTTACAAGAGATCAATAAACTACATTAAAATTCAAGGCTTGAATAGCAGTAAACAACTGAGAAAATTAAAATACAGTAGTAGATAAAATAGTCATCAGTGGTATGCGGCCATCATGGCTAGTAGGCTTTATCCTTTGTGAAATTGTTTAATCTAGGTTGGAGACCATTACCACATTTTGTGACAGTGAATTTAATAATTTAACTACTTGCTGGAAGAAGTACTTCTCTGTCCTTAGTCTTCTGCCATTCAGCTTCTTTGAGCGACCCAGTTCTAGTTTTATTCAGAGAACAAAAAATTTCTCTGTCCACTTTCTCTACAGACATAATTCTATACACCACTATATGCCTCCTCTTTTTGCCTCTCTACCAAGCTAAAAAGCCTTGTGAGGACAATGATGCTGTCAGTACAGATTCTAACAGTGCCATCCCATATACTTCGGTTTGGAAGCAAGTTCCATAGAATTCAGTGAGACTTTCTCCCAGGGAAGTAGGTGTGATATTGCAGTTTTAATCATGGGTAACATATTACTAGAAAACATTGCCATTGAGAGGCAAACCTGCCATGCTATGCATTGTATGAAACTGCAACTGTTTTGAATTGGCATTTATTTAGTTTTTAAAGTGTGCAATACTAAGCAACAGGTCTAAGAATTGGGAGAGGGGGTTGCCTTTTCTAGATGGGGTCACACTCACTCTGAAGGAACAGGTATGAAGCTTAGGAATGCTCTTGGGATCATCTTTGTCCATAGAAACTCAGGTGACCTCAATGGTGAAGAGTGCTTATCACCAGCTTTGGCTGGTACATCAACTATATCCTTTCCTGAACAGGGATAATTTGGCCACTATGTGTGCCTTCCCTCATGGCTGGTCTGAAGGCTGCAGCTGGTGCAGAATGCCACAACCCCAGTGGTGAGTGATGCCTCTCATCAAGCACATATCACACTAGGGCTAAAAGATATGTGCTGGCTGCCTTTAATCACTGAACCAGTTTTAAGGTTCTACTACTAACATATAAGGTCCTGAACAACTACGGACTATGTTACATTTCCCCCTATGCAGTCTGGTAAGGGCATTAATATCACTTCTAATACATCATGGCTACATTTCTATGTGCATACAAAATACTATAACTGCAGCATGCGATGCATATACAGGCCTAGCAGGAGATAGATTAACCCAACTGCAGCCAAAAATTTCCAAACCCGCTTCCTCTATGTAGCTTCCATTGTCTCAACCAAAGTGCCTCTGACTTAGCCTGCTGCAGATTCCTTTCTCTCCATGAAGAGCTTTGTTCCCTCTAGGTATCTTGTGTCTTTCCATCTCCCTTCCCTGCTTTTAGCAGAAAGGCAAGATGGGAACTCAGCCCAGAATGCAAAGAACTACTGAAAACCAGTTCTGTGAGCATCTACCAGATCCTTCAACTGCTTGGTCTATACCTAATGATCAGTGGGTATTAAGGGACTTCTGAACATCGAAAAAGACCAACATACTACAATTATGTCCGCTTCAAATTTACTGTATGCATACTGCATAGCGAGTATACTTTCAAAGTAATCAAACTGAATGCACCAGGATAATGAAAAGAGGCATGTTACATAAAACAGATAGCAATTTATGCTTGAATATAAAAGCCATGTGGTGAATATTATACAGTTGTTTAAGCTGCTGCATTTGTTCTGCAATAGCTGGTGTGTGTGGATGCATTGTTCAATTGATCACTAGCAAAAATGCTTCTGACCCCAAACTGCTCCTGGGATAATATATTTTCCCTGCTCTCAAGATTTTGCATTGTAAGCTATTATCAATTCTTGCAAACCTTAAAATGCATTCTTGCAAATGCTTAAAAAAAAATACATGAGAATATCTTCATTTTTATTATTTTCATTCATTTAGCTATTCTAATTTTAAAAATGTCTATGGTGAGCTACTCTCTGAAATTTATAGGCATTGCATACCAGTTCTAGTACTTCTATGAATTTAATTATCTTCCTTTTTATGATAAAGGCACATGCATATTTCCAGTTTATTACTTCTAGCAATACATCTTCTGCAGGCCTTGCTAAAAATTCTAATAATTCAGTTGTAATAACTAGACAAATGAGAGTATGTAGAAGACTGTACAGTTCTTTACCATCAGAACCTGTCAGATTCTGAACAGGTATGAAAAAACGCTTCCACTGATTTCCGTAAAGCAGTGCTGATGACCATAAGCAGATAATTATTTTTTTTGCCATGGTGTGCTTTGTTTTTTTGGGTGCTGGTAGTAGTGATTTCAATATAATTGCTATATGAGGCCCTAGGGGCGGACATTGGCAATCTTTTGTAATGGTTGAAGAGCAACATTTTTGCCTGGCACCTAAAGCTATATAATGAAGGCACCAGCTGAGCCTCTCTGGGAAGAGCATTCCACAAATGAGGAGTCACTGCAGGAAAGGCCTGTTCTCTTGTTGCCACCCTCTGGGCCTCTCGTAGAGGAGGCACACAAAGAAGGGCCTCAAATGATGATAACAAGTTCTGGGTCAGTTCATATGGGGTGAAGTGGTCCTTGAAATATTGTGGTTCTGAGATGGTTCTGAGCTGTTTAAGGCTTATAGGTGAAAACCAGTGCTTTCAATTGGGCCCAGAAACTAATTGGCAGCCAATGCAGCTTGGCCAGGATTGGTGTAGTATGCTCAAAACCATCTTGGCCTGGTGAGCAACCTAGCTGTTGAATTCTGCACTAGCTGAAGTTTCTGAACTGTCTTCAAAGGCAGCCTGATGTATAACGTGTTGCAGTTATCTAGCCGAGAGTTTACCAGAGTACAGACAGCAGAAGTTATGCTATTCCTGATCAGATAGGGGCACAGCTGGGCCACCAACTGAAGCTGATGGAAGGCACTCCACCTGAGTCTTAAGCAACAGCAATGGATCCAGGAGTACCCCCAAGCTGTGTACCCACTCCTTCAGTGGGAGTTTAACACCATCAAGAACAGGCAACCTCCTATCCATCTGGTCTATGGAAACACCCACTAACAGTGTCTCAGTCTCAATCATCTGGATTGAGCTTCAGTTTGTTGCCTCTCATCCAGCCCATTAGCAAGGCAAGACAAAAGTCCAGCACACCCACTCCCATACCTGCAAATGTAAAGAAGAAGTAGAGCTGTGTGTCACCAGCAAACTGCTGACAGCATAATCCAAAACTCTGAACGTGGGAGGATTTATGTACATGTTAAACAGCATGGGGGATAAAATCAAACCCCGAAGAACCCCACATTGAAGGCTCCATGGGGCCAAAGAGCACTCCCCAAGCAGCGTCCTCTGGAAATGATCACCCAAGTAGGAAAAGAACCATTGCAAAGCAGTGTTACCCACCCCTAACTTGGACAGCTGCTCCAGAAGGTTACCATGGTTGATAGTATCAAAAGCCACTGAGAGGTTGAGGAGAATTAATAGGGACACATTTCTGCTGTCTCTTTCCCAATGGTGGTTATCATACAGGGTGACCAAAGCAGTTTCTGTGCCAAAACCGGGCCTAAACCCCAATTGAAATGAATCTAGAAATGCAAAATATCACTTTAAATTTGCTTTCTGAAACTTCATAGCTGCAGGGTGGACTATGAGAACAAACATCCTCTATTTGATTGACAAAACTAGATTCATTTACAAAACACTGACCATTCAATTAGTCCAAAATACCTTCAGACCAGGAAACGTCAATGAAGATAAGACCTTTGGAGTTGGGTTTCTCATAGATTAATCTCAAGAGCTAGCAGTGATCAGCTGAAGTAAGCAAAGTATTCTTTGCTTTTCTAGAAGTTAACATCTCTTGTCTTTTTATATTTGCTTTTCAATAAGCCAAGAGATATCTCTGTATCAGTGAAAACAAAATAAGCCAAAACAATCTGTTAGACAATGTCTGGTCTGTCTTTCTCCTTTTTTAAACCAGAAGAGTCCATTTCATAAGCCTCTTTGTTTCTAAGAACTGAATAGCACCGCCAGATCGCTTGCACATCTTTTGCCATTGCATCATTAGTGCTTGTTTTTACACAGTTTTGCCCTTGACTGTGTTTCGTATTGTCGTTTAAATGACAGTTCTAAGCACAAATTTAATTGCTTTTTTGCTAGTGAGATAATACTTTGAAAAAGTAAATAAATAAAAGATTTTAGTCCACATAAAGCTTAAGTTACAAGCTGATAGAAATGTCAAGGTAATGAGAAAAGTTAAACATTCCACCTCCCTTTTTCTATGGTAGGTGAAATCATGCAGGATTATAACTTATTCTGCCATCAAGGCTATTAGAATCAGAACAGTATTTATTGTTATTATGTTATCTAATTAAGGTCCGTAAATCATAGAAGAATAAAACAACAATGTACAAGGCAATTAAGACTTTCATAAAGGTGTAGATAAGGCTATTAACAGAGGCAGTTATCACAAGCAGCTGCATTTCATAAATAAATAAAAATCCTTCCAATGAAATGTTAGCAACTGACTTAGGAAAGCATGCCTGTTACCAAATATCCTAGTCTTATTTCACAACCAAAGTAGCAGTTCTTTACCAAAAAGTTCAGAGTTAACTAGATTATAACTGATGTACTACATAATTGTTTGTGGTCTCTGTTGAAAAAGTGGAAAGAAGAACCAATTGCAATAGCTATGCCCAAGAGGCTCTTTGGATCCCGGCTATATTCTTGGCTATGCATAAAGCACTTTCAAATCTGTAGATGCAATGCTAAGCTCACAGAGTGTTATGGAGAGGTGCCCTAGTATTTAGTAGAGCTTTACACTGTGCTGCCTGGTGCACAGCATTGTGGCCAGTAAGTTAATTCCAAGGCAGGCTTTCCGCACCTTCTCTGTAAGCATTTGCAGGGGGAATCTGTGGACCCCTGATGAAGAGGCTACTGCCCAGAAACACAACAACAGTTAGCTTTTGGGTGCTTGCAAAGGAGGTGTGGAAGAAGAACCTGCCTTGGAATAAATAGCAGAAAGGTGGCCCAGTGGGGGACCGAGCACTCCATTAGGGCACCTACACATACTACTGTGTACATTTGCACCCATTTGCTCATTCTTAATTAGCAGCTGTGCTGTTACAAACACACCTTTGTTTTATTTTATTCTTTTGTGTTCATTGTATGCTCAAGTCCAAGGATCCATTGCCCATTCAACTCTGTGGATCTGTTTCCTCCTTTGGAGTGAATGGGAATGCTGATGCAGTCATTCACTCAATATATGTGGTGTAGCTTCCACAAAACAAATTGCAGATTGACAAAATGGTTCGAAGAGAGCTGTGCAATGGGCTTTTAAGTAGGGGAACTTGCATAAGAAGAGTGAGAGATGTTAGAATGCTCTCTCTGTGCATGGATATCATTGCGCCTGCTATCAGAATTTATCACCGCTGAGTTTCAGATCATAAGAACCCAATGTCTGGATACATGTCAGAGTGTGAATTTCGCAATGTAATTCTGTTAAATTCTCTTTAAATGGGTAGTATATTCAAATGCTGAAAATATCTGATGCCACAGGCTTAGACTGTCCAGGGAAAATAGACTGATAAACAGAAATTCTTTTGCATTTGTCAGAGTTGGGCATGGTTGATAGTATGCCTTTGTTCCATATGACTTTTTTAAAAATCAAAAGTAACACAGCTACAGACCTAGAGCACCATTCTTTTAACTGCCTTGCAACTTTACTTGAGACATGTGGCTCTGTATTTAGCAAGCCTTGCATTAGTGATATAATGACTCAGATGGGCTTTGTCACATCAACACCTGCCTCTGAAAGCTGTCTCGGGTCCTGCAGTACATCCTGCTGAGCAGCAACCTGAAAACAGGCTTTCCTATCTGAAAAATGCTTCTTTCTGTGATACCCTGTTTCCTGTTGCTAGTCTCTCTCTGTTCCAGGTACATTCACCTCTGATTCTGTCCAGCCCACATGGAACAGAACAAAACAGTACAGTACAGTGTTTGTTGCAGAACTGGTGCTCCTCATATGTGCCTGGTTTTGTAGTGACCATGCAATGTCATTGGTAGCCTCTCTTTTTGCACCGTTTAATCTGATTTTTTGCTTTCCAGGGAAAATTCTATTAACCTTTCCCCCCCGCTAAAACAAAAATTGTAACATTCTTTGGTTATGTCACTACCACAGTTAAATAACTCTGATGCATCCTGCTGTTTACCAGAGATTGTGACTAACTTGGTTGGCATTTACATCTCCATTTGCTCGTTCCTAACTGGAAGCTGCATTGTTGCTGCTGATGTGTGCTAAGATCTGGTGCTTGTGGTGGTTGGTAAATCTCCAGCAAAGCAATGTATGTGTGTGTGTGTTGTCTTATGTCTGGTTTTCTTCTTTTAAGGTGCCTCGTCTCCGGACATAGAGTCTAACTATGGGGGAGGCCTGTTAGACATGATGAAAGGAGGAGCAGGGAGACTGTTCAGCAACTTAAAGGATAACTTGAAGGACACTCTTAAAGACACTTCTACGAAAGTTATGCAATCTGTTGCAAGGTACTATGAAACAAAAGCCCTGGAGAGCTCAGCTAGCAAAATAGTAAGCTTAGTAATTATTTCCCTGTCACAGGGAAATAATCAGATTTTAGTAGGCTTGGACAAAGGGATTATTTAGCACCCTGGTGAGATCTTAGGAAGGAAACAGAAAAGGTTGCTGTGAATTAAGCTGAATTCGCTAAAGCAAAACGTGGAAGCCTGAAGTTTGAATAATATTATGATGGCCCTCAAGCCACTGTGGCAAACTCCAGGAAGCCCACAAGGAAGGCATGGAGCTACTAACTTGCCCTTTCTCTTGTTTCTCCAGCTGATACTCAGGAGCATACTTCTTCTAGATATGAAACAGTTCCCTTTAGCCATCATAACTAATTAGCTATCAATAGCCTTATCCTCCATGAATTTGTCCAATCCTCCTTTTGGAAGCCGTCTTGTGGAAGTGAACCGCATAACTTAACTCTGTACTGAGCGAAACTCTATTTCTGCTTGTTTGCTCTGAACTTACTGTCAGTCAAAACCACTGGTAGACCCTGAGTTATAGACAGGAAGAAAAACTTCTCTCTCTCCATAAATTATTCACTTTTTGGAAATGAATATCCTCAAAAAGGTTAGTGTAGAACTGAAAAGGGTTCAGAAAAGGGCAACCAAAATGATCAAGCGGATAGGAAAAAAATCCCCAGTGAGGAAAGGTTACAGCATTTGGGGCTTTTAAATTAGAGAAAAGGCAAGAAGAGGTGACATGACAAAAAATTATAAAAGTTTGCATGGTGTGGAGAAAGTACAGAGAGAGAAGCTTTTCAATGAAGCTAAATACTGGATGATTCTGGACAGACAAAAGAACATAATTTTTCACACAGTGCATAGTTAAACTATGGAATACACTCCCATGAGAAGCAGTGCTGGCTACCAATTTGGATGGCTATAAAAGAGGGTCAGAGAAGTTCATGGAAGCTAAGGCTATCAGTGGATGCTAACCCCAATGGCTATTATTCTATCTTTGCTGTCGAATGCCATTTTACTGGAATCACTGTTGTCCTCAGGTCCTGTTCATGGACTTTCTATAGTCATCGGTTAGGCCACTGTGAGAACGGTGTTGGATAGATGGGTCACTGGCCTGATCCAGCAGGCTCTTCTTGCATTCTTAACTTGGTCTAAAAGTGTGTGGAATTCGACAGAAAAGTAAGGGATTTGTCTGAAAGCTGAGATCTTCAGTATTCAAGCTGGTGGTAACCATGAACACAAATTCATGAGGCAGCTTCTTTCCTAATGTTCAAAGTAACCCCTGCAGCCACCATTTTCTTGCTCTAAGAGGCCCTTCTGTCATTATGCTCTTTGTGTCAAATGTACTGAAACAGTAAAGGAACATTTAATATTAGTTGAGTAGACACCATAGGTGGTGTCCAACAAAGTAGTTCCCTTAGTGGAAGAATTTCTGTTTGCTGCCATTATATGCAGTTGTCTACAAATAAAGACCCAGGATGAGCTTTGTAGACTTCTTTTTTTAACTAACTAATTTCTAATACTACAAAATAGTTTGAGATTTTAGATATTTCCAACAGAGTTGTGAGAGTGAAAGGCAATGAATCCCAATTCAGGGATGAAGCAACTGTGGCCATCCCAGAGGTTGGGCTACAACTTCCATCATCCCTGACTATTGTACTTCCTGGTGGGTGTTTATGGGAGAAGGAGTCCAGCAACATCTGAGGCCACAGGTTTCCCATCCCTCATATACTTTATTGTTACCTTAAAGAGAGCGAGAGAGCGAGAGCAAGAGAGAAAGCTCATGGGAACTATTTCTTAAAGCACCTTAGGTTCCAGGACAGAAGAAAAGGAGGGGTATACATATAAAAATATATTTTTGGTTCATCATCTCTTAACGCATTCTGGTGCAGGGCCAGTTTAAAATCAATAGCTAATTGACATGAAATATCTGCATAATTGAACGAGAGAGAGATTCCGCTGCATAGTCAGAAGTGAAGTAATATGAATCCAGCAATCGGAGAGGAACCACAGGGGCATAGTGCATCCCCAAAATATGGGGAAATGCTGTGCATTACAGGATGCTGCAGTTGTCTCTTTGCTGAGCAAATATGATTATTACTTTACAGACACAGGGAAGACTTGTGCATAGGCCTTAATGGGACATGGAACATCTATAAAACTTCAGTTGATTTTGGTGTGTGTATTAACCAGCATTTATTTTCCTGTCTTTTAAAATAGCTACACCAAGGGAGAACTAGATATTTCTTACATTACCTCAAGAATTATTGGTAAGTGTGTGAGTTACTTCAAACAATGAAGCAGTGCTCCATGTAGCAATGCAGCCATGTTAGACTTGTTAATTGTCAATCTTGTATCTTTTCTGGTTTAGAATGTAAACTTACATTTTTCATGTCTTGATAGTGATGTCATTTCCTGGTGAAGGAGTTGAACTAGGATTTAGGAATCATATTGATGATGTACGGACGTTCTTGGATACAAGACATCCTGACCACTATACAGTTTTCAATTTGTCACCGAAGTCTTACCGTACTACAAGGTTTCATAATAGAGTAAGTGACTTCTGCTGGTACTGTGATTTGACCCAGACTATCACAGGGTGTTAGCTCTGTTTGTAATATTAGGCATGCTATCTTTACGACCTTCTGCATGCAAAACAGGTGCTCTACTGGTGAGCTACATCCACTCAACTTCGCAAGGAAAAAAGAGATGCCTAAATTAAAGCCTCTCAGTGGAGGTTCAGATGGGTACTTATTTGCCTGCTTTTAACCAATTATCATAAGACCATGTTGTTCTGATGGACTTATATTTTTGGATGGAGCCTGTACTAAGTTTTTGTTTGTTATTTCCTGATATTTATTTGGTGCTGTGTTACTGATATTTGGTTAGCTTGTGTATTGTTAGGACAGTTTTTGTTAGGATGTTATATGCTTCCATTAAAAAATCCCCTTGGAAATAACGTGGAAATTGCTTAACTTGTGCTGTATTCTACTATAATCCACTATAGTTCTGGAAGTAGCTTTTACATCAAGCTGCTTTTATATAATATGGAAATTAGATTTTAGGGAAGTGTCATGAAAATGGAATAAACTGCCATGTGAATGCAGCTTTTGAGTCTTAACAATGGCAGGGCCTTGCCCCAAGCTGGATAAATACACTTACTGGAAACAAATACCACTGAGACTTATGAGGTGTACTATCACAGAAGAATGTGGGTGCATGCAAGCTGGAATTTTGCAATACATTGTGGACAAAATGCTAGGGACTGGTGTATACTTGATACAAAGAGCACTTATTAGTCAAGCATGCAGGAAAAGTAATGCATATTTCAGAAGAGCTACTTTAATTATTATTTAAATTATTTAATTATTATTATTAATATTATTTAAAATAGTTTTAGGCAGTTTTTCTGGGCAAATGCCCCTCCAGTGTATCTTCTTCACTGTTCATTATTCTGTTTGTGGTGTTATCTAAATTCGCACAGACAGTTCTTTTGCTGCAGTGCTAAAGAATGGCTGGCACTTATATTGTTGTGCCTCAATAATAGAAGAAAGTTCTTGTTCATGGAAACTCATGTATTAGCTTAAGCTGCCTTAATCTTGTGGCTTTCAGTGAGATGTAAGCAGCCCAGTTGTACACAGAATTGCAGCCATTGTCCTTAGTTGCCACAGGTCTCTTTGCAATTATATCAATTTCATTTGGTTAGCTGACCTCTCTCTCTTTATTAAATATACTGCAATTTTCAAAGTAGTATGATCGTGTGTTTTTAAAAAAGTCATGCCTGAAAATTTTGTTTTTAATTCCTGAATTCTGTAATAAATTGTTACTGTTAACTGGGTAGCTGCTGAATTATTGTGTGCTATGCAAGCACAGACTGTATTTATAGTACTCAAAACACCAGGGCTGCATGCATTTACACCATACATTTAAAGTACAGTATTATTATTATTATTGTTGTTATTGTTATTATTATTGTTGTTGTTGTTGTTGTTGTTGTTGTTGTTTCAACAAGTTATATACAGTTTAATTTACAATAATCTCTAAGTGGTGTGCAGAAGATTAAATAAAACAAAATTTTAAAAACTATTTTAAAAAACTTCAACTAAAATGCCTGCTGGAATAATAAAAGAAGTCTTCAGTGGATGCCTGACCTAAACTGGAAATTTGAAACAAAATTTGACCCACAACACTGAATGCACAGCTCCTAAGAGATATGAGCTGTGCACCCAAGCCTTGGGGGACCATTAACAGTGACTCCTCTGAAGACCTCAGTGATTAGGCAGGAACTTAAGGTATCAGTCAATCTCTAAGGTATCCAGGGTCTGAGGGCCTTGTAAATCAGTATAGGAACTTCCACAACTTCTTCCAAATTATTCTGGGAACTGTCGTTTGTTTGGGGCAGGCATAGGCAAACTCAGCCCTCCAGATGTTTTGGGACTACAACTCCCATCATCCCTAGCTAACAGGACCAGTGGTCAGGGATGATGGGAGTTGTAGTCCCAAAACATCTGGAGGTCCAAGTTTGCCTATGCCTGGTTTAGGGTGCTGGGAATTTTAGCTGTGAGGGGTAAACTACAGAAAAGACTTGAATCTTTTCTTTCCAAATCATGAATTTTTATGTTTGCTAAGCAACCCTTTGTTAAATGTTTGAGAAACGTGCTTAAAGGGACAGCTTGTCCATTAAAATGAATGGAGCAGATGACCTAACATGTTACTATGAAATTTCAAATTAACCTTTCCTTACTTTGTGACTTCTTTAGGTATCTGAATGTAGCTGGCCAATGAGACAAGCACCAAGTCTCCATAACCTCTATGCTGTATGTAAGAACATGCATAACTGGTTGCAGCAGAATCCCAAAAATGTTTGTGTCATCCACTGTATGGTAAGTCAGGCAGTAAGTAACCACTTTTCAAGAAAAGTCTGATCACAAAAGAGCTTGTTTATAGAGGAACTGAGAAACTGCTGACTCATTTTTAAAAGCTCATGGTGGTGTACAATAAAGTGTGTATGGTGGTATCCAATTAAGTCATTTGTTGTCAGCGAAATTATTTGATTGTGGTGCCCTAAATATTTTGTGGTTCTTCCCTCAACCTTCTGGAGCAGATTTGGGGAGGGTGCACACAGTGAGATAAGAAGGTGGGGGGGAGTTGTGCAACTGTAAATCCTTGCACTGACAGGAGCTGTTGGTTGGATTCTGCCTGCATATATTTATTTTTAAAGATCAATTAATTATGGATAACTTTTTAGTAAGCCTAATTGATTAAAAGTTGCAGTCTTACTAAAATGCTTGATGCTGTACCCCAACAATAAAGCCAAAAAGAGAAATAAAAAGGAATATCAATTCCAGCCTGTCAGGGACACAGAAGTAGCTTTCTGAGTAAATCTCAGCTGAACAGAAGGCTGATTCATGGGTTACTGAGCCAGTGTGGAGATAAAAAAAAACTGTTTCATTGTGGCATTGCTACAATGCTGACAAGCTTCTTGCCACATCTGCCTACTCAAGAGTCTCCACACTAGAGCCACTACTGTAGTTGCTAGGGAAATGCAGTGCTGGTATGGAGGCTGGAAGATGCAGTAAGAGGTTTGCTGATGGTTTAATAGAAACAGTTTTTCATAGACTCTGTGTCGATCCTCAGAATTAATTGTGTGGATGTCACTGGCTTATGAGTTGTATCTTTACAGTGCTTTGGGGGCATTAATGGTATTTGCATTCAATTGCTACTGTATGAATTTAGTATTAAAGCCAGGAAGCTTCTAACTTGAGAGAACCTTGATCAAATAATGTATGCATTAAATAGAAAACAGCAAACCTTCCTCTCTAATTAGCCTGATAGATGCTCTTGTGTTTTATTTGACAGGATGGTCGTGTAGCATCAGCAATCCTGGTCAGTGCAATGTTCTGTTTCTGTCATCTCTTCTCTAATCCAATTCCTGCCATTCAGTTGTTAAATTCAAAGAGACCTGGAATAGTACTCTGGCCATCCCACAGAAGGTAAGTTTTCCCGACGGACCAAATGTCTAAACTCATGAAATGTGACTTTCCGTTTCTTTATTTCTTGGAGTCAGATTTTATTCAGTTCCACCCTTCCTGTCTGTTTAAAGCTATGTATCTGCACTGAAATCAGTGGGAATTCATTTTATCCAGTCACTGACTGGTTGAAGGCAGATTGGGAACAGTTCAGCAAAACAAATGATTTCAGCTAGGGCTTCAATGATCCCACTGGGTTCCTAAGGCTGCATTCCAAAACACAAGTATTCCTAAATTGCTTTGGTCCTGTATAAATTAGACTGTTCTAGTATAAGTGGGAATAATAATTTTTAGTCATTAGTAATCTGAAGGCCTGGGTTTTTGACAATCTCAAGAGCATCAAGACTTTAAAATGTGGTATCCCTACCACAAATGAGGAGCTGTAATCCAGCAGCATTTGGAGGGCCACAGGTTCCTGACCCCTATTCTGAACTTTAAGGGAATATTAACTTAGGACCTGTTTTTACACTCAATTGGTAGTAGTCCTGTTGTCAGGGGAGAGAAGAGCCAAATCCGTTTGCAGCTTTCAAACAGAACTGCAACCAGGGATTGCATCTGTAAGATGCTTATGTTATATTTGCTTTCTCCTCATGGGATTTTTGCCCCTGAGATCTCTAATCTTATATTTTAAAATTAGACATAGCATTCCTGTTCCTTGACAGCAGGATTTCTACTATTGAAGATACTAGATTCTGCAACTTGAGAAACCCCAAATACTTTTATAGAGCTAAAAGATGCAATTATTATTATTATTATTATTATTATTATTATTATTATTATACCCTGCCTATCTGGCTGGGTTTCCCCAGTCATCCTGGGTGGCTTACAGCATATCAAAAACATAATAAAAACATCAAGCATTAAAAAACCCCTGATACAGGGCTGCCTTCAGATGTCTTCTAAAAGTTGTGTAATTCTTTACCTCCTTGACATCTGAAGGGAGGGTATTCCACAAGGAGAGTGCCACTACCAAGAGGGCCCTCTTTCTGGTTCCCTGCAACTTCACTTCTCCCAGTGAGGGAACCAGCAGAAGACCCTCGGAAGAGGACCTCAGCAAAGCAGTAATATGAATGGGCCCCTCTAAATTATTTTTCTCATTGCAGGTATGTAGGATATATTTGTGATCTAATAGCAGACAAACCTATTCAACCTCACTGCAAGCCTCTAACTATCAAATCAGTCCTCTTCAGTCCAGTGCCCTGTTTCAACAAGCAGAGAACTGGCTGCCGGCCTTTCTGTGACATTCTTATTGGAGAAACCAGAATCTTCACGACCTCCCAAGAGTATGAAAGAATGAAGTGAGTGCCACTGTGTTTACTTAGAATACTTCTGCACCCATATATACAAAGCAGGGGAAGGAGCTATCTAGAGCACACAAGCTACTTATGCCCCCATGCACCAGTAAACATGCTGGTTGCATCCCCTGGTTGATACGTGATAAACACCAGTCTGAAATATAGGTATGGGTATCTGCCTGGGTCTGTGTCAATACAGCTGTGGATATTTGGATGGGAACTAGGATTTCCCAATGCATATGTGTGTAGGGGCATCCTATCTTCACACTGACTCTTATCACACATGAACTGGGAAGTGCTGCCACCATACATGTTGGCCATGTTCTGGATGGGCCCTTCACACATTGGGCACCTACAGATACATAATGCTTAAATAGGGATAATGTTTTGCCTCTGAAGTTTTGATTTTTGTACTATGGGCTGTTTCAAATTTTGTGCATTTTCTGCTTATATAGTACATTGGTGGATGTTGGCATAGGCTGTAGTTTGTGCTGTGAAAGAGAAGGAAGGTAAACAAACCAGCCAAACCAAGACTTCCTTCTTGTTAACTGGCCCAACCTACTCTTTCTACTGGGTAGAGTGGTATAGTACTTGGGTGTGGGGTAAGGTCACTGTGAATTTTGTTTTGGCAGTTCTGATTAATATTACAAGAGTTGTAAAGTAAAAGTTATTTTACTTTTCTTTAGGGAATTCCGTATTCAAGAAGGAAAAGTTGTAATTCCGTTAGGAGTCACTGTCCATGGCGACGTAGTGGTTTCTGTCTACCATATGCGATCAACCATTGGGGGACGACTTCAAGCTAAAGTATGACTTGATGCATTTGTTGAATGTAAAGCTAAACAAGTGGGGGTGGTTAGACAACTCCAGATTCTTTAATACTGTGGTGAGGTAACAGTGGGGTGTCAAAATCTAAAGACACAATGAGAAGATCAAAAGCAGCTGCTGAAGTCAAATCTCAAAAGGGAAGAGACAGCTGAAAAAGAGAATAGTTTCCTGATATTTTTCAAGACATTCACTTTATCAAGATAAATTTATTCCAATACTTGGGGGGGGGTAATGCTTGGTACTGCTTTTCTTTCAGCTCATCTAAGTAGACCAAAAAGAAAACAGATGTTCCCTTTTCTGCAGTACACCCATTAAAAAAAACAACAACTGGGAGATATGGAAGCAAAATAAGAACGAGGCAGTGATGCTACTTATTGAAAGATGTTTGGTAGTTTGTCTAATAATATTGCTGAACAAGTATTGATGTCACTTTAGACTACAGTCCAGTTCAGAAACTTCTGGAGAAACTTGAACGGTCTTCACAAAGTAATATCCCTCTATGTGGTGACAACAACACACAAATTCTTATTATGCATAGTCCATTCCCTTTCCAAAAGGGGTGGACAGATCATGCAGAACTAAGTCAGAATTTATGTCATTACTGATAACATAAAAGTGATAATAATTCTATATTGTACAGAATAATTCTATACCATGAGCAGTATGTTTCATTCATGTCTGGATTCTGCTTAGTCACATGAATATTAGGAGGGAGTGCCATCATGTTTTATGACTCAGATATAATTACATTTTATGTACTCATGGTAAGCAGGGCAAATGGGCTTCTGTTTCTCCCCCCACTGTAAGAATTGAATGCAATAGAAAGATACATATTTCCTAACCCTGATCGAAAAGTATGTCTTCATCAATGAAATATTTTCACACTTTGTTATAATGAAGGATTTGAATTTGCAAAATAACTGTTTAAGCCTGTTACGGTCTAATTTACTAATACCTGCATACTATACACCAAATATTTTATTTTTGTGAGGGGGGTTGATTTTAAAATTGTGTTTTAATATTTTCTTTTAGATGACGAACACACAAATATTCCAGATTCAGTTTCACACTGGATTTATAGCCCTGGGAACAACGGTATTAAAATTCAATAAGTAAGTATCTCATGACTAGAAATGATGCTGTGTTCTGAGTAGTTAGCTGCATATGGATTATTGCAGCAACACCCATAAGTGTTGATATGCAATCAAGCAACACCTATTTCAATAGAAATCTCAGGAGTTTGGGTAAATGAAGCATGTAGTTCCCTATTTATCTTAATATAATTCATTGCAAAAGCAATGCATACTTTTAAAACCTCGTTAGCGAAGGTTGTAGATACTAGACCGGGCATTCTCCTGCTTCATCCCATGATTTCAGGCACATTGGAGTTTTGTTTCAAGCAGAAGGCCTGCATAGGCCCAGAAACAAAATCCACAGAGAAGCCTGTATACTTAACTGGTTGTCATAGATCTACCTCATAATGCAACAAGATTATGCTCCTTAATTAAGGAATATTCTAAAATAAACTAGAGAAGTCTTGCCTTCTAGACACTGTAATTTTGCTAGTGAGTAAGATGTTCTGTTCCCTGGCATGAAAATGTTCCACTTCTCCTAGTAGCAAAATAGGATGTGTTTGAAGTTAAGGCTGAGATTAAATCTCATATGTGAAAATTCTTAACTTTCTCTCCATAGTACTTAATTGTAAAGCCCAAGGGACCATTATGCTCTAAATTTATCCCTCTGCTCCAGGGCAAGACCATCCATACAAGTCATGTAGATCATGACTTGAATGTTTAAAACACACGTGGTCAGCAAGACTAAGCAAGGTACATTCCTCCAGGTGTCTGTAAAGTAGGCAGGTTAAATTAGCATCCTGTGAACCAGCCCCTGCACGTGAGAGCCATAGCAGATAGCTGTGCTCATCTTTGCAAAGCCACCAGAGCAGCTAATGCCAGTTCTTTCTGCCACGGCTCTCTTGTTTTGCCTGCTTCCTGAAGAAGCCAACCACTGTTATGATGAGCAAGGAGATAAACACTGGTAGCAACAGTAGTATGCCTGCTAAATGCCTGCTAAATGGGCTAGAACACGGATGGCTGTGGCAACAGCAAGAACTTAATCTGCTACATCTAGCCCAAGGCTTCTATACATGTTAGAGCTGGTTCAAGATTTCTGAAGTAGCAGAAAGGAGCCCTTTAATACAACTCTGCTCACTGAGGCACAACATGTTTTGAACTGAAATAGCTTTTTATCAGGGAGAAAGTTAAATGTGAATCAACTTTCATTTTGCATGCTCTAAAATAAAAGGTAGGTGTCCTGTCGCTGTGGATCACTATTAAATACTCCTTGAACCCATTTGGACTAGAATTACAAATCCAAACTATCCTCTTCATCTGCAATCAGAAATTTCTTCTGAGATTTTAAATACTTCAGATTGAGAGCACAAAGTAAAAAAACCCACTAAGGTAATAATTTCTCATTGCTCCTGTCCACTAGGATGTCACACTCTGTAAAACTTACTTTACGTATATAGAATGCGACATATTTCAGCCATATCAAGTACTTCTTTGTGCTCATCCTGTGCAGGCTCAATATTTGATTTTAACATGATATCTTCAAACTGTTTTATTTTAATTTGAAGAACTTTCTGTCAATGTTTAGACCTGAATTGGATGCATGCGACTCGTCAGACAAGTACCCCCAGCTGTTCCATGTCATGTTGGAGATAGAAATAGATTCTGCTGATAGACAGACTGATCTAACACCTCCATGGGAAAACTTCACAACAAAAGATATCAATCCCAGCATTCTTTTCTCATCACACCAGGAACACCAGGACACCCTTGCCTTGGCAGGTAAAAGCTCTACAGTTTTAGTGCTGCAGTTTTGACTTTAATGAAAATGCCAAAGTTGGCCATTTATTTCACACATTTTTGGTATGCCTTGACGCTTTGTACATTATAGGTAGAGGTCCTGTAGATGCGCCACAAGATAACCTGAAGAATGTGGGGCAGGGTGCATTCTTGTCAACTCTCAGCTGGCAAGGTATGGGTAACATATCTTTTCAGAACTCATAATTCACATACTAGTTTTCTTCTATCCCTTATCTCATTTCTTGTCCCCAAGGAGCTCGGGAATGCTGTGTTCACATGGCCCCATGGCAAAGCATAAGCATTTTCTTGACTCGTAGGAAAGAACTGGCCAGCATATAGACTTGCATAGTATTCATGGGCTCATCACACTTCACAGAGCTTCTGGCCAAGTTCTCATGACAGGCTTATTTTGCGCTCATCATTGCAGTTGACTGTAATAATGTCCCTTGGAAAATCAATGTGCTGTCAGCACTGTGCGTTTCCAATTTTGTGTTGTCCATTGTGTGTACTTCGGTTAAGTGTAAACGTTGCTATTGCTGATAGTGTTTACTTCCACATGTGGGGTGTGTGTGTGTGTGTGTGTGAGAGAGAGAGAGAGAGAGAGAGAGAGAGAGAGAGAGAGAAGGGGTATTTCCCCCCTTGTATCCAGCACTGAAGGATCAACAGAACTACTAGCTAATCCTGAGCTTCTTTTGGCCACTTAGATCAAAAACTGGAGAGAAGTAGCTCTCATCCCAGCTCTGAGGACCGGGCGGCACTGGTGCATGAAGAAAGTGAGCAGTCAGATGATGAACTCTTATCCCTCTCCAGTCAGCATAGTAACACCAGCAGTGACAAAATCCATGGGGCACCAAAGCATACCAAGAAGCATCAAGAGCCACCAGGTCCACCACCCCCAGAGGATGTCGATCTTTTAGGCTTGGAAGGCAGTCCTATGAGCAAGAACTTCCCAGCAGCACCTGCCGCACCGCCCTCAAACTCAGACTTGCTGAGTGATATCTTTGGGGTTGGTAACTCTGGAGGACCAAATCAAGGTGGACAGTCGGCTGTTGAGGATGTATTTCAGATGGGTGGAACTGGATCCACACAATCCACCCCACGACGGTCTGCAGCTTCAGCATCCCCATCTCTGTCCCCAAGAGTAGGAGAAGGTAAAAGCTCCTAATTGTGACACTTAAAGAACCCAAAAGCTTCTAATTTTTTTTTCTAGGCAATCATTTCTAAATAGGATTCTCTTTCTACTAGGAATGGGGGAGAAACTCAGTTCAGTTCACATTTGAAATGCATACCACATGCATATATTGTTAACAATAACATACATGACACTAGGGGAAATGTGCAAAAATAGTATCACAAGAGAAATGTGAACTAAAAGGATAGCAAATATTAATGAGGACTTTTAAAAAATGCAAATTGATGTGGCAAAGTGAACTTAAGATTGTACAAACAAACCCTTAAACAACTGCAGAATTCTAAGAAAGATAAATGCTGTTGTATATAATAGTCACTTATCTGAAGCACGGTAGCCTAAGCTGTCAATTTTAGTTTCTCATTTTTACAATCAAGATTCAGATAGTATTATTTCATGATTATTAACTTGGAGTAACCATTGGCTTGGTTCTGAGAATTGTTAATGGGAGAAAACTTTCTGCGTGTTTTCAAATTTGGGAAATTTCCTCCTGCCCTTGGTGCTCCTGTAATGTCCCATCCCCCACTTCTCAGGAAAGTCTCCTGACCCAGGTGAGAACCTTTTTGCTGGGTGCAGGAAGCTGAGGATGTAATGGGAAAATGAGAAAGTCCCCTTCTGTGAACTCCCTTCCAATCACAGTTGTGAGAACTCAAGCCTTTGTTTATGAGAACAAGAATTTTCTTGTTGTATCAGTCACAAATCCTTTATTATCTCAAGTCATTCTGGTCACTTGTTTTCTGTAAGAAACTCTGATATCCCCCTAACTAGACAAAACAGCCATGCTTATTGTTTACCTGATTCTGTTTCAGCCCCATAGTGTATGCCAAGGAGGTAGTGCATGTTGTGGCTGCCAGTGGAACATGCTGAGTTTTTAGCACGTAATCACAACTGCCAGCTTGCTTCTGATTGTGACAGCATGCTAAATGCCTATCCTTCCTTAGCGCATGCTGGCAGCAGTCCTATGTCATCCCCTCACCCCACCCCCAACACTGATTGAGTGCTGTTGTTGTTAGTGTTTTGATCCAATAGCAACTGGGCCCCGCAGGGGGGGAATGTGCCATATTTTTCCACGTTTACGTGTGTTGCAACAGGAACCCTTTAGAATTTGCTGGTTTTTATTAAAACTCATCACATTATTCTGTCCTTAAAAATGAAAAACCTTGATAAACAACTATTGGTATGCAGTTAAAGATGCCTGCATAATCCTAATCAATGCATGAATTTCAGTCCCTGCCCATACGTCTATCAAAGTTTATTTGCTATCCTCACAGACTTGCTTCTGTCCCTTTAACAGATTCTCTTGCCATTTTATTCTCTTCTCTTTCTACCTGGGTCCACTCCCCATTTTCCTAGGCTTCTGTTACCTCCCACTTGCTATCCCACTCCTGCTCTCTTCTCCGCTTTTTAGTCACCTGCCTTTTAGCACTATGCCTATCCCAAATTTTCTGATGACACAAAGCCCCTCCTGTTTCTTGGTCCTATGTGAAGATTTCTTCCATTCAACCTGATTCTGAACATCTGTCACAAAACCTGCTGTGCACTGACATTACTGACACATTCGCCTTGAGCTGACAGAACACCTGAACATGGCACCACAACAGCTCAGGGGCACCTTCTGGGTACATAAGAGGCAACATGCATTTTAAATGCCTCCTCTTTGTGTCAGAATTGCTGTTCCTTAAACCTTCTAGCCTCTTAACTAAATTTAGAAGATAAGAAGAAATATCTTAGTTCACAGTGAACACAAACAGAAAGGAAACATGAGAAGAAAGTACTGAAATGCTAAAAGTGAATGAACTCACTGAAGTTGTGTGCTAGTGAAATTTATGTACATTCTGGAGGAAACAGTTGGTATAAATAAGAGAGCTGCGGAAAGATCCAAATGCAAATCAAGAGCAAACTTGCCTATTGCGAGGAGTTATTGCCTTCTTGATTGTTTTTTTGGTTGCCTGAATTGAAATTTAAACACTCTCCCATAAACTCCCAATTTCACGTGCGTGTGGAAGAAGGTTGACACTCTAGTTTCAGCCTCTCCTGCTCCTTCCTCCGCCAGAAGATGGAGCAATGTAATCAATACATCTACATGAGTCTTTGTCTTCTATAGTTCTTGATTTGATGGCATATCCTTAATCTCTTCCCTAATTGTATCCTATTTTTATGTACAAAACAGTTAGGAGTAATATGGGTTTGCTCTGGAGTAAAGGAACACAACTTAATAGTGGACTTGGGGTGAATGGGATACACGTTTAATAGAACAAATATGTTGTTCTTGCAGCAGCTGCCTTTGACCCATTTGGCGGTAGTCCCAAGAAGCCAGCCCCTGATCTTCTAGGTTCTTTTCTTGGTTCATCAAATGCCACCACTGATCCTTTTCTTCAAGGAGCACGGAGTCCTTCACCTACTGTTCAAGGAGATCCTTTCAATATGGGTAGGAAACATTTCAAATGCCCACTCTTTTGTTTTTGAATAGAAGTTTAATGGTGATAACCGTATCTTCATACACTTGCAGATTATTCATAAGGTCAAATAGTTTCTCTTCCAGTTTCTTAAGTGGTTAGTGGGCCTCAGATACACAATACTAAGATATGATTTTCATGTTTTGAAGTTAACAGCAACAAGCCATGGGCTCCAAATTGTTCACAAGCCAAACAATAGAAAATTGTTTGATATCAGGAAGTTTCTTGGGGAGACTGTATTCTTTTCCATAAAATTTGAATAAGACTGAAATCCTATATACACTTATGTAGGAACAAACACCATTGAACTCTGTGGTGCTTACTTTAGAATGAACACATGGAATATGGTTGTGTGGCATCAAAAAGCATGTCATTATGAACTGTAGGTCTAGATGGGCTGGGTTTCTTTGAGGGCTACAGAAGACCTTTTCTCAATTTTAAAGCTTAGTATAGGTGCATCTAAATTTTCCAGCAGGCTGCAAGCTTAATCTAATGCAGTGGTACCTTGAGTTACAAACGCCTCAGGTTACAAACTGCGCTAACCTGGAAGAGTTACCTCGAGTTAAGAACTTTGCCCTAGGATGAGAATGGAAATTGTGTGCTGGCAGCGCAGCAGCAGCAAGAGACCCCATTAGCAAAAGCATGCCTCTAGTTAAGAACAGTTTCAGGTTAAGAATGGACCTAAGGAATGAATTAAGTTTGTAACTAGAGGTACCACTGTATTAATATCCAGGCTTGGAAAATAGCAAGTACTAATTTCTGATACAATGAGTAACCAATGCACTCAGTGTTCTGTCAAAACTATGAATATAGTGAAATAGTGTGCATCCATAATTACTGGAAGGACATTTCCTTAATTTTGATAAACAATGTATGTTAATAGGCAATTCTCTTCTTGTTTAGCTTCTTCTAGTACACCATCTGTTTCCATTCAGCCAGATGTTTCAGGTGATTGGGAATGGCCTAGCAAATCAGGTTTGTCTGAAACTAGTTTCTAACTTGTTTAAGATGATTTGCTATGTGACGTTCATTCCTATTGGCTATGAACAGTGACACTTTCCACTAATTTCCAAATAGTCCACTTTACATTAAAATGAACCTATGTGATGAGGTAATTGCACAAATAGAGACCTCTAATGGTTATCTTAAATAAACTTATCAAATTCATTTGTTCTTATTTGAACGTAAAGCATGCACACCAAAGTTACCAAGAAGATTGTACCTCTGGTGACATGTGTCTTTGTATTGAACATGCATTAAAAACAATGCAAATAGCCAATGGTTGGTGCTTAATAATTATAATAATTATAATTTAAAACATCAGGGGAGAGGAATTTAACCCTTTCCTTACCTTTTGCAGTCCTGATGAACATATGCCTTCTGTGGCTGCTGTTCGCATTGGGAATAAATCCCTCTTTGGTTTAACCTCCCTTTTCCCTACCTGTTGTGATCCCAATAATCATCACCCTACACAGAAGCTGCTATTTGCATTAAATATGTGCACATTAAATGCAATGATAAAGTTGATGTTGTCTATAACTTGGCCCTCAGAAACAAAACATATAACGCAGAAAAAACTAGTCTAAGCTTTAAGCAAGAACTACTCAAATGTGTTTTAAAAGACTGAGCAAAATGTAACATTTTTACACACAAAGATTCCCAACTCTCTTTGTGCATGCCTAAACATGGCAATAATAATAATAATAATAATAATAATAATAATAATAATAATAATAATTATTTATTATTTATACCCCGCCCATCTGGCTGGGCCTCCCCAGCCACTCTGGGCGGCTTCCATAGAAACCAAAAATACACTAAAATATCACACGTTAAAAACTTCCCAAATGGCTTGTATGCTATTAAAACTGGCATATTATTCATACTGCTAGCTACATTTACACAATTGTCAAAAGCCACTTCATAGAACATGAACGAAGTTAAAATTCTTTAGTATTTGTTCATTTGATGGCAAAATTTAATGAGGGTGCAGCCTGAGAAATTGCCACCACTGGCGAGTTTTGCCAAAAGTTATTTGGGTCGCAGCAGGAACACCTTCAATGCTCTGTTCAATGTATCTTCTTGTGTGAATTTTGTACTTATCATTTATCTCTAAATTACACGTCTGCTGGGGTGTCCGTGTGTTGAGCTGACCAAATGATAAGCAGCAGCAATCTTATATTAATTTTGTATCTGAGGTCATTAAATTATATTTTATAAGCATTCTCTTTTTTCTTCTTAGGTGGTCTACGTATGGGGAGCAAATCAGCTGCTACCAGCCCTACAGGGTCACTACACAGCACACCTACACATCAAGCCAAACCACAAACACTGGATCCTTTTGCTGACTTGGGAACTCTTGGTGCAAATCTGGCAGGTTAGATTAAACCTGAACATTGAGTAGAATGGGTAGCCAAAAACATGGACAATCAGATGTGCATTTTACACTAGGCAATGAAAGGGGGACCACAGTGAATTGCACAATGGAGCAATTAACCACTTGCCTGCTTCTCTGGAATGAATAGCCCTTGCAAACCCATCCATAGCAGGCAAGCAAATGCTGTAGAACTACATAGGTTGATCCTGTGATCCTCACATATTATTGCTGCATATTCAACTTGTTATGCTTTTTATGAAGCGGAAAGAGAGAGAAAAGGCAGGCGGGGAGCTGATCTGAGAAAGATGGTAAAAGCAGGCAGATTCAGTGGCGGAGAGCTTTAAAATCTGTTTGCAAAGACTGGCAGATTTAGAAGGCAGGATCTGCTCCATCTCTTGAGTCAATTAATATAGATCGGTAGCTTGATTAGACTTTCAATAAAATGTTGTATTTAATATGCGTGACTTATTGTACACAAATATTGTACACAATATTGTACACAAATATTTGTGTTTGCAATTCAAGGTTTAACCTCCAATATCTAATACAGGCTTTAATATGTGAAAAAATTACCCTGGGAAGGTGGTCTTTCCTCTCTCCCCAGCCCACCCGTTTTAACCATATATCATGATTAATTGGATAGATCCAGGACAGATGGATCTGTCCTGTGAACAATGCAATGTGTGGATTGCATAGGGCATCACTCAAATGTGGAGCACAACCCTAAAAGTCATGGAGTGACTTCTTGTCATTGACAACAGTATGTGAAAAGTTGAACTTGCTTAGTAAATACAGTTGAGGAACAAAGTAGGAAATTCTGGGAGGGGGTGGGAAGGATGACAATGTACTAAAACAGAGTAAAATGTAGGTCACTGCCTTGTTTGCAAGTACCTTTTTCAAGGGATGCTTTTGTCTTTCCTCCTTTTTCTAAATAGGCTTCCCTTCCGTCTTCCCTCCTTGGCCCCCTAATTTCTACCATAACAATAACAGCTTGCATTACCTCTGCTCCCTGTTGTTTACCACTTCATGTGTCCAAATCTCACATTGGTTCTGAAATTAGATGTCCTGCTTCCCTCTGCTGGTGTTCTGCTGCTCTGCAGGATCAAAAACAGAAAATGTGTCTGATGTCACGTAGTGCAACAACTTGTGGCTATTTCTTCTTTTTTTAAAAAAAGAAAAGTCTGCAGTACTGCACTACTGCAGTACATGATTTTAAGTAAAAAGAAGTTGAATATGCAGAATATTAATATCTGAAGTAAAAAAAACCAAGCAGCCAAAAAAAACACCCACAAGCAACAAAAAGGCAATTTTTAAATAATCTATAGTTTCTACTATATTTATGTGATCAGAGGAAATGGTGGAAATGGTAAAGTTCTGATGGTACTTTACCAAAACAAATGGGTGAAGCTTTTGAATTCTGTAAAAAAAAAATTGTTAAGGACATTGGTGTTGATTAGATTTTCATTCTGATCCAGAAATTGCTGCCTGCATGTGGAAATACCATTATCCTTATTTTGAAGAATGTTGTGTTTAGCCTTCAAATTGCTAATAGCTTGGAGAAAAAGAATGACACGTAATCTCTTTCTCTCTCTTTGGCCCCCTCCAATTATTAGTAGGTTGAGTAATCATATGTGATCTGTATTTGTGTAGACTGCAATGATATTCAGTATTTACACTCTTGAGGAACTTGCAAGTTTAATCTATGCCAAACCTTCCAAGAAATGCATATTTGCTGTTTTCTGGTGCAGCACATTTCAATATAAGCTATGTCATTTCCACCTGCCCTATGCTTCATTGGAATATATATCTATAACCCAATGCTACTAATATTCTTCTTTAAATGCTTATATGTATTTATTTTAAAATCTGTATATTAAATGATTTTGTTAACAAGTATACAAAACTTCAGTCATTATAGAATATATAGACGTAGGTGAAATCCAAATATTTATGTGTGCATATCTAAAGTGCTTCCTGGAGACTTTATTGACTTGAGAGATTTTTATTTTTGCTTCTTGTTGCTACACTGCAACACGTCTCCAACCTCCAGCTATAGGTGGATTCAGGTCCACCTGCAGTCCTTTGAATCTTAGTAAGGAAATCACCAGATATCAACTGGTAATTCTGCTTTCCTATTACACAGGCAGTATTATTAACACAAAATGCTTTGCTTCATGTTTCAGGCTGTCCTTCCTTTGCTAGCAAACCCAGCACACCGACAGGAATGGGTGGAGTATTTCCTCCTATGGGGTCACCACAGAAACCATCTCCTCAGCCAATGGGAGGAGGCAGCTGGCAACAAGGCACTGGATACTCTTGGCCACAATCACAGACAAAACCCCAACAAAGCATGCCACATTCCTCTCCACAGAACAGGCCTAATTATAATGTGAGTTTTTCTGCAGCGCCCGGTGGCCAAAATGACCGTGGAAAAGGACCAGGCAGTTCTGGTAAATTGATTTTTTGATCTTTTTAGTCTTCTGATGCGGTTTTGTAGTTTTGAAGGCCTAGAGGTGGAGTATTTCCAAGCTGAAAATATTCAGTCAGCTATAATACAGGCGATGTGTTTTGAAATTAATTTAGGCATTCTGGTTCTAAGTGAAGAACTAGATATTATTGCAGACATGATGTCATGCCCTGACCGTTGTCATCAGTGTGGAATAGGGATGGGGAAACCTGCAGCATTATGACCTTGCATCTTGCCATTAGCATGAGATGCTACTGGGAAGATAGGAAGAAAGAAACTCAGAGGGGCTGTCATATTTGGTGGCAGTCCCATATCTGCCAGAATGTTCAGCTTCACCCTAATATGTTCTGCATCAACTTAATGGGTGTCAGATTTAACAGATGTTGTGAGAAAATAGTTAGAAGGCATCTAGTTCTTATTTGTCACACTATTTTATTCAATTTGAATTGCTGAGTGAGTTCAAGTTCAAAACGGGCAAGCAAAACTTGTAAGATTCAACTGGGAGATCCTGCTTGTACACGGATACTTTAGAAAGGGTGATGTGCTAAGTGACTTGTGTTTTTAGAGTGACCTGTACTCAGCAGAAGGGTGAATGTGCCAACTTTCTCACAACGGTGGTGTTGGGAATAAAAGTGCTTAAACTTCTGTTTGCGCTGCAGAGGAAAAATACAGGTATGCCCATATGTACCGTATTTTTCGCTCTATAACACGCACCTGACCATAACACGCACATCGTTTTTAGAGGAGGAAAACAAGGGAAAAAACATTCTGAATTAAACAGTGGATGTATCATTTTTGTGCTTCATGCTGTGGCCACAGACATGTGATCTGATGGTGAATTTGGGGTGACCCAATGCAAAGATCCTGAGAATCCCTGTGGATCCATGCTTTGTAACCACATTTTTGCACCATTGCAGCCCCAGGCAACAGTGGGTGCGTGCTTTTTTTGGTGCAGGCTGTAGCCATGGACATGCTATGTGATCTGATGGTGAATTTGGGGTGACCCAATGCAAAGATCCTGAGGATCCATGTGGATCCATGCTTTTTAACCATGTTTTTGCACCATTGCAGCCCCAGGCAACAGTGGGTGCGTGATTTTTTTGGTGCAGGCTGTAGCCATGGACATGCTATGTGATCTGATGGTGAATTTGGGGTGACCCAATGCAAAGATCCTGAGGATCCATGTTGATCTATGCTTTGTAACCACATTTTAAGTGGGGAGCGAAGGAAAAACAAAGAAGGGACATGAGAGGGCAGAGAAGCAGCTGGCTAAGAATGCTGGAGAGGGATTTAACCAGTGGGAGGAAAGAAAGGCAAAAGTTCCCCCCCAAGCCAGCCATCTCTCTCTCTCTCTCTCTCTCTCTCTCTCTCTCTCTCTCTCTCTCTCCCTCCCCCCCTCTTTCTCCCTCTCCCTCCCCCACTCTCCCTCTCCCTCCCCCACTCTCTCTCCCTCTCCCCCAGCAGCACCGGAGCACAGAGAGGAATTAGAAAGAGCGACACTCTGCTTGCCTGGAGGGGAGGGGCTTTCCCTGCTCTTTGTTCCGTTTCAGCAATCACAGCAACGAAACAGAGGAGGGTGGGCAGTAAGACCCTGAGGCAGAATGCAGGAAAGCTGCCACTTCCTCTTTTCAGGTTTCCCTTCTCCGTGACTCGCGGTTTGACTTTTGCTTGATTTTTTGGCTCCAGGGACCACACATTCGCTTTATAACACGCACAGACATTTCCCCTTCCTTTTTAGGAGAAAAAATCTGCGTGTTATAGAGCGAAAAATACGGTACTTCTCTGCATCGTATGGAATGATTTTGTAAAGTATTTAGAATAATGTGACATTTATATCTTCTTAAATCAAGTAATACTTCCTTTTAACACTCTATACTTTTTCCCATTAAGAATCCAAACCAAAAGTGTCTGCTGATTTTGAAGACCTCTTATCTGGCCAAGGCTTTAATGCTCACAAAGACAGAAAGGGACCAAGAACAATAGCAGAAATGAGGAAAGAAGAAATGGCCAAGGAGATGGACCCTGAAAAATTAAAAGTAAGCTGAATGCTTCAGATTTTATTTCCAAATTGTTCAAGATTTTGCTTTGACTGGATTGTATAATAGTTGAATATTTAATGCTTCAGAGATGTTTTACGATGCAAGCATGATACCAAGATCAGTAACAGGAACTTGTCAGTATTTAGGTTTTGCATGCCTATATTTTTCTAAAAAACTTCAGTATCCACACAAGGGAACTGATTGTCCAAAACTGAGAAGGTGCGGGTGGACTGTGTCTAAAGGTAGGTAAGACTCTGTCTTGATGGTAGAGACTCCCTATTTGTGCAGGAAAATAGTGTGGGAGGATTAAAACAGTTCCCCCATCTCCATTCTCCTAAGCTGTGTGTGGGTGAAAGTTGGCATGCATTCTTCCCTCATGTTACCTGGGAAATATCTCTGGCAGTAGAAGACAGCATGCAGGTTCTAGGTCTTGGCCTGTGTGGGGAGCAAGGACTGGATCAGGAAAAAGGGCAGCCTTTGGCCTGCTCCCTCAGACCTTAATTCCCTCTCATCCATTTTTCATAATCAGCCAGCTTCAATCCCTTCAACAAAGGGTGGGGGGGCGGGGGGCTAAGCCCACTTAGCCCAGCTTCTCCCAGCAATGGCTTTGGTCATGGGGGTCTCTAAACCCATTTTGCTCTTTTCTAATTACTGTTTAAGGGGCGAAAAGGGCTGTGATCACTATGGCAAATGAAGGTGTTTAGATGGAAGATAAGTGCAAAATTCACTATGCCTTCTGCTCCAACTTTCTTCATATGGTCTGTGGGTTCCAACTAATCACTAGTTGGAATGATTACCAGAAAAACTTGTGAATAATTATTATAATTAAACTGACATTATTCTTTTATGAAGGACTAAATAGGGTCTGTCCCAATAACGGTACAAGTCTTTAATTTGGAGGATTATGAATTATGTATGCAAGTTACCTAATATTTATTTTGCTAAGTTTATTCTATTTATATTGTTGAATCCTTGGGCATGTGATTCACACTAATTTCCTTGGTCACTAGCTATATCCATGTATCCCACGATTCTAATTTGGAGAGTTACAGAACAATACTAGCTGAATCTCCATATTCAAAAGCAGTTTTATGTATCTGTTCTTGGAGGTAACAATTTGACATTTCCATTTGATGATATCTATCTCCTGTCTTTCTGAGATCCAAAGCAAACTGGGAAGAAGCAAACTATAAACTGTTCCAATCAAATAAGTATTCATGCTAGTATAGATATTCTCTTGCAGTTTGGTTTAGTACTACATTATCTATTTTCACAGATCCTTGAATGGATTGAAGGAAAGGAGAGAAACATAAGAGCCTTGTTGTCCACAATGCACACAGTACTATGGGAAGGAGAGACAAAATGGAAACCCGTGGGCATGGCAGATCTTGTTACTCCAGAGCAAGTAAAGAAGGTTTACCGGAGAGCAGTGCTTGTTGTGCATCCTGATAAAGTAAGTAATAATATTTTATGTTAATCTGTTACCTCATGTACTAGTTTAATGATTCCTACTTGATCCATCCCTGCAATTACTTTCACCATTATCACTTTAAAACAATATGGAGTGAAGAGTCACTGCAGTCCACTGAAAATCTTTGGTGTAGCAATTATTACCAGTTGTGTGGGAGCTTAGGGAAAGTTTATTGGGATAATTTCAGAAATAGTCTGAAAATGTGATATGGCTCAGTCAAGTGGATGAAAATAATAAGACCCTGCATGTTTACTAATTATGCTTCTGGTTTGAGTTTTGCAGCAAAACAAATTGTTTTAAAATAAAAACTGTGGTTCATAAAACTGATATGCTTAGGCTAAGAATTAAAGTCTGATGGGTCTGAAAAAAATTAAACAAGGGGAAATGTTGATAGATTGTGTGGGCAAGGTGTGAGGTCATGGTGAACAGCATTACTTTATAGCTCAAAACTATATCAATAGGTAAATACTACGCCGGCCTATTGGAAGTTGTAAGTCTATCTTCATAAGAACTACAGATTACAATAAAGCAAATTCACTAAAGGCAAGTGAATATGTACCAGGAGCAACCACAACCTACTTCTATAGTGTCATTAAAACATACCCTATTACCCCAGGGTAAATGCTGCAAAAAACCCATGTATGCACAGATCAAAGATATGCTTGCCTTTTATGAGTAAGAATTGCCGCTAGGCAGCTAGGTAGGAAAACTTTATACTATGTTGACTGTTTCTTTTAATCTACAAATACCTGATAAGTAGATGTGGGGATATAGGCTAGAAAAGATTTTTGTCAACTCGTAACTATTCTGGATTAATTCAGGGTTGCATGCCACCCTTTTCAGCATGCTTGCATGCCACCCTTTTCAGCATGAGCGTAAATTATACCTACACTCTGCTATTGACTTTCTGTAGGAACAGTGTCATCTTTAAGCTTATTTTAATATGTTTGTGATGTATCTTGTTTTGCTTTCTTGTAGGCTACGGGGCAGCCATATGAACAATATGCAAAGATGATTTTTATGGAGCTCAATGATGCCTGGTCAGAATTTGAAAACCAAGGCCAAAAGCCCTTGTATTAGCGTACTTCCTCAGACATTGCTGTAGACCTGTGCTAGTGCTCATATAGTTCCTTGCCACAAGATTTTCACAGCTGAATTAGTATCTGGCTGGAAATTTGGGAAAAAATAAGACTAGCCCTAACACTAAAACCTTTTCGTATGGAGAGCGGGAAGGTATGGAGGCTGCTCCTTAGGTATGCCATGAATTACAGATGCAAAGAGAGGAGTTCTAGAAGTTAATCTTAATAGTGTTCTTTCAGGTATAAACAGGGTAGGTAAGGATGCATTCTAGAAAACTGGGATTGCTTGTCTTGGAACAAGTGAGGTGAAATGAATGGTCTCTCTCACTACGAACCAAATAGATGCTGTGTCACTAGGAATGCGGCTTAGTCTTGAAAGTTTGTATCCAGGACAAGCTTTGTCAAAACAAAGCATAAGGATGTTCATATGTGGTTATTTGCTGTACACTAAACTCTCATAATAATTTGACCCTTCAATTACTTCTTGTAGTGTTTCTTTTTTTTTAATATGACAGCTAGGCAACTGGATATGTCTTCAGCAACTTACTGCTGCCTTAAACATAGTACTGTATTTCGTGTTTCAGACAAGCAGACAGCTAGACATTTTACACCAACAAAGAATTTGGGAAGTGTCTTTAAATTATTATTTATTTATTAACATGCAAAAGCCTGTTGAAGCATTATCCCAAATCAACAGACCACTAAAGTTGTTTGCTGTTCATTATTATTAAAGTAAGGGTGCAAGAATACCTTGCAAAAAAATTCCCAGTTAAAAAACACTTTGAAACCTGCCTCTGAAACAAACTTTGCTGCCTTCTTCAGCATTGTGAAGTTATGTGCTTAATTGATTCAAAATGTATATCTAAATTGAATCAAATATCCAGTTTTTCCAGAACATTTGTGAACACAAGCTAATGTTACCATGTAGACTCAACTTCTGAACTTCTATAGGTAACTTACTATGTTCATGTAGTTTTGTAAGATCTGAGGTGAGCAAAAAATACGAAAATTTACTTACTTACTTATATTGGCCCAGTAAGCAATAATGTTCATATATTCACATTATGGTATCTGATGATAAAACAAAAGTATGTTCTCTCATCTAATGAAACTAATTTTACATAGCACTTTGAACTGTTTCTCCTTTTGCAGAGAAACTTATAATGGGAGTTTTATTTATTGACATTTCCTGAATGAAATCTGGTCTCTGCCTTGCATGGGGTAGATTAATATTATCTGGTCTCCTCTCCTTCAAGCAGTTGATAGTTAAGTCAACGTGCAGCAACAGCCATGTGAAACTTGGTTGTTTATAGAGGTCCAATGTGTTTATAGATGCTGATTCGATATCTTTCTTGAAAACCAACTATCTACAGGCTGTTGAAGGCATCGTGCCACCTGACTCCATTGAACATTGGATCCCATTATGCAGCCGATTTCTTCATGGAGCTGTTGCATAGTAGCTACAAAAGTCACTGTATTGGGGGGGGGATGGTAACCTACATCTGCCTTTTTGATGTTCAACAGGTGGACAAAAAGGTTTCCACATGCAGGGAAAACTCTCTAGATGACGTGAAAATCTTGGTCAAATTGGTGTTTTAAGACAATCTGTTTTCTGTTGTTCTATTTTCTTTATAGTGGAAAACCCTTTTCTGCAGATACAGCATGTCCACCAGCCTACGTTTATTTTTATATTAAATGCCATCTTTTTGTTGTATTGATCCATTATTTATTGCCATTACTGCCAATGTGAAACAAAACACCAAGCTCTCCTTTTTATATGTACAAGATATTAAGACGTTTGAACAACTATAACAAACTGGATGTTATTTATTAACATATTATGAAATGTTTTGATCAAGTATGTGCTTGTCTATTAAAAACATTTTGAAATGTGAATCATGTTCCTGTGACTTGTTTTAATCTTTCATTCACTTCTGTAGATATTGTGTGAATTATGCTTATGAAATATAAATGGATTCAGTTAATGTAGCATCAGTTTTTGAAATTACAAAAATAACATTAGCTTTGTGCATCAGATTAATAGATCTTTTTTTAAAAGCCGAGGATAAATTCAAATTTTAACAAAATAAATATATCATTTAAGCTTCATCTAGTTCAGTAAAAAGGAAAAAAAAACTTACCCAACTTAAACACCTTCTCTAACTGCAGTGCAGTGCTTTCAATGGTGCATGAAAGTGAGACCTATGTGTCAAAACTACTGAACCCAAAAGGGTTTTTCCCTTTTCCTTTTTGTCCTATCTGCTCGTCAATGTTCAGGTTTACTGTTCTGACTAAAACCATTATTATAATCTCTTTTTTTGTAAATATGCAGTATACTCAATGAACTGTGACTGGTTGAAAGCATTTGTATATATATTAAAAAGGTGAAAGAACTTTCAGTCCTTTTTATTTGTATTTTATCCTATGCAGAGAGGAAGATAAAGCGCCTTCAAAGGGGATGTTATTGAGTATATTGATACTGAGGCTGTAGCAGAAGGCGAAAGAAAATAAACCCACTACTCCATGGGACTGAATAACCTGTTCCTGAATGTACTCTCTTGTGTTACCTTACAGTACAATCCTATATGTCTTCATAGGAGTAAGTCGCATTGAGTTCAGTGGAGCTTACTTCTGGGTAAGAAAGAATAGATAGCAATGCAGCTGTAAGTCCTTCTTATATGCTGAGAGGAGCAAATGACTTCATTCTTATATAAACTTAAAACTATTGCTCCTCTTTCTGAACTTGTGTCTAACATTATAGAATATGTGTTTTACTGAATGCAAAAAATGCTTCTAGCTGCCATGTTTCCCAGCTTTATACCATAGAAGCCAACTCCTGGGGGCCCCCACAATAAAATATTTGAGGGGGCCAGGCCCCCACAAAGTTGATGGGCATTCCTATTCAAATGGGGTGTGTGTGCACTGCGTCATGTGATTGATTATGTGGTGCAGGGCTTACCTGGGCCCCCACAATTTCATTCAGGTTGGCGCATCTGCTTTATACAAAACATTGGCATTGTGGTGAAATCACTTTCTGCTGTGGAGAAAATTGCAGTAGGAAACAGTAGAAAGCATGAATTTGAAAGGTGTGTGGGTATATAAATATGCATGAGGACCCTAAGGAGCACTAATTAGACAATGCTTAATGCTTGATTTAAGTAATGGAAACCCCTGGCTGTACAGATGTCACCCATATTTCTAAATACAGTGGTACCTCAGGTTAAGTACTTAATTCGTTCTGGAGGTCCGTTCTTAACCTGAAACTGTTCTTAACCTGAAGCACCACTTTAGCTAATGGGGCCTCCTGCTGCTGCCGCGCCGCCGGAACATGATTTCTGTTCTCATCCTGAAGCAAAGTTCTTAACCCGAGGTACTATTTCTGGGTTAGCGGAGTCTGTAACATGAAGCATATGTAACCTGAGGTACGACTGTATCCATGGGTGTGTGCAGTCAGAAGACTTACCCTCGCTGGAAATGGATCTGCATCAATGGATCCATACAAGTGCGATTTGTTTGGGCGAAGAAACCAGCACGTCCACAAACTCCCACTGACTTCTTTTGAAACTGAGGTGATGAATTGTGCATGGCTGGCATGACGGCGCTTGCTTGCTGAGGTCTTTGCTTTACTTAACAGGGCCATCCTACTAAGTCTGTCTGCTCTGAAGTAGGCCCCGCTAACCTCATGGGACTTACTCCCTGGGAAGTGTGTCTGGGATGGCAGCCCAGACTAAACAGCAATTTAAAGTTTTTTGTTGTTTTTAAGATGGAGATAATATCAGACGAGCACATGCCCGACCTCAAAACCAAGGTTTTTGCTCTGTGGGGCCTATGCTTGACCCTGAAAGTGAGATAAGAGGCCGCCCAAGCCTTTGCAATCCGAATATGCTCTGGGAGGGCAAAGGGAAATGTGGGTGGATGGATCCACAAAAAGATGTTTGAACATCTGGCACAAGCAGCAGCAGCAGGACCAGGAGCAGCATTTTAAGGGCCATTTCTGAGGGGAATTCCCCTCCCTTTAACTGCCTTGGCGCCGCCCTGAGGCAGTTCATAGGCGTGAAAAGAGTCTTAGTTTCTTTTTTTAAAAAAGAAAGTGCTGCTTTTTTGTTGTTGTTCCCTTCCCCCTGTGAGAAGGGGAAGGGTTAGAGCAGGAGCCACGTGAGCAGAAGGCGGAAGAAGTCGACACATTATTCTCCGCCTCCTCTGCTTCGTCGTCCAGCGAGAGAGAGAGAGCGCAAAAAAGGCGCCCCGCAAAAGAAAAGGAGACATGGCGGGGATTAAAGGTATATCGGGCCGCTTCTCTCCTCGCGCGGCGGGTGGCCTCTGTCTCTCTTTCTCTCTCCCTCCGCTTTCCCCGTCGGCGCGGCTCTCTCGCTCCGCCGTCGCTATGGCTACCTCGCTCCCGCCCCTGCCCGGGGAAAGTTCCCCTGCAAATACGGCTAAAGGAGCCTTTCGCTGTGCAGCCCCCTCTCGGTTGTCGCCAACAACAGACTCCTCTCCGGGGCAGCGTAACTTTTTGCACTGCGCCGGCGCTGGGTCTTTTCCTCCTCCTTCCTACGCCCTTTTCCAGGGTGTGGATGTGAAGCACGCGGGGTGGGGAATCCGGAGGCGCCGGCGAGGGCAGGGCTCTTTTCTCTGGAGCAACTGCCAAGAAGGGCTCTGGCCGGTCACATTTTGCTGAAAATTCCTTTCCCTTGAAGCCTATTTAAAAGTTAAGGGGTTTCCCCAGCTGCTGTGACCCACCCCAAACCATTGTTTTACATGCGATCGGTTTTGATTCGAAAGCAAAAAAAGAAACCCACTATAGTTCTTACCAGTGCTTTTCTTCAAAAAAAAATGTTTATGGGTACTCTCATTTTCCTACTCATTGAAATACTGCCCCTCAAGGAGGCCAAACTTAGATTCATAAAATGTTTAGGGGTATGCGTCCCCCCAGAATAAAAGAACTGGTTCTTACAAACTTTTGGACTTCTGTTTATTGTGGTCACCGAGGTAATGAGTATACAGCTCTTGCAGAGTGTGGTACTTCACTTCGTTTAAAATCTCTTTCCATCCCAATTACAGAAGTATAATTTAAGTGATCAGTGAAACCCTTAAAAAAAATAATCCAGCAAGAGGGTCCCATCCTGGAAGTATGGCTGTCGAAAGTGAAACAAACGTTATTTACTTCATAAGATCTATACACCTCTTGATAGTAAAAACAAACCTCAAAGTGGTTTGCAAAAAACAAACAAACAGTAAAATCAAGGAAAATTCAACAAACCCTACTTTAAAACACACAAAAGTTAAAATACTAAAACATTGAAATTACCTCGGCTTTCTCTTTATTTAGGCTTGTCTAAATGCAAGAAGTAGTGACAGCCACCAATTTGGGATAACTTTTAAAGAAGAGATGACAAATTCATGGAGGATCAGGCTGTCAGTGGATACTAACCATGATAAATGTACTACCTCTACTGTTGGAGGCAGCAGGCCTCTGAAGGCCACTTGTATAGCATCACAAGTGGCGGGGCGGGGGAAGCTATTGCACCCAGGTCAGGGACGCGGACTTATAAAAAATATTGGGGGGGCCCGGGAAAGCTCATGAATAATAAATAAGCTCATGAATATGCAAATAAAGTGGCTCCGGCCCTAAATAGGGCAAGCCACGCCCCCCCAGCCAGCCGATTGGCTGGCTGGGAGGTGTGGCCAGTCGGGATTCCCCTGTTCTCGCGGGGCCTGAAACCGCCAGGAGGAAGGAAATTCCCCCCGGCAGTGCCTTGGCAGTGGCGGTGGTGCTGCGAAGCAGCGAGGCAGGAGCCCCCACCCCCGGCGCCCGAGATTATTGGGGGGGCTGAGCCCCCCCAAAAAATTTTTTGAGGGGGCTCGAGCCCCCTCAAGCCCCATGGGGTCGGCGCCTATGACCCAGGTCCTGGTTCTGGGCTTCCCATAGGCATCTAATTGGCCACTGAAGAGGATGTTGGGGCATTGGTCTGATCCATCAGGCTCCTCATATTCTTAAGGTAGATCAGAATATACTGGTAGATCTCTGGGTGATATGCATTAGATTACTAATGGCAGCAACAAGGTGATTTCCACTCCACCCCTATGTAGGCTGCTGAAATGAAGAAAGCTAGCCAGGAGTGGATTTTTTTTACATGAAATGACTGTGAGCCCAGTTATGTTCTGGTACTGGAAAGAAATTCCTAGGTTCAGGAGCCACTTTGGTATTTAATTCTAACTGTTTTGTTTTTAAATGGCTCTGATTGGAGTTCCAGTAAAAAACAAAGTAGACCCAACAAGCCTGAATTCTGACCACCTCTTGAGATCGAACATCTGCTGTATCAGGAAGCTACACCTTTAACTGCAATGTTGGATCACTTTGTGAATTAAACTGCACAGGCTGTGATTGTACAAATGTATGTTAAGCATGTTAGTGATGTCATTCTTTTTATTTCCACTTGTGTAGCCCTTGTTGGCTTATCGTTCACTGGAGCTATGGGTCTGACGTTTCTTGTATTGGGGTGTGCACTGGAAAGTTACGGGTAAGACTGAATTAATACGAGATATATCACTGTTCTATGTTGTGTGATGGTTTTAAGCTTGCTTATTTAGAATGAAATCCTTAAGCACAACTACAATTTTCACAACTCTTACATCTTTCAGATGATTGAGGGAAATGAACGGCATCAGAGATTGTAACGGGGTTAACATGTGGGAGAGCAGTCTGACAGCCGAGAAGAAAAATGAAGCTTAGGGTAGTTTGGTAAACCTTTGCTGAAGCAGTGGGTGTTGAGGAATATAAATTGGCATATCAGATAGAGAAGATGCAGTAGAATGCTAAAAGGTTCACAGATTAGAATCTGAGCTGATACGGGGGAAGGAGATGACAAGGGATGCGGGTGGCGCTGTGGTCTAAACCACTGAGCCTCTTGGGCTTGCCGATCAGAAGGTCGGCGTTTCGACCGGGTGAGCTCCCTAAGCTCTGTCCCAGCTCCTGCCAACCTTGCAGTTCAAAAGCATGCCAGTGCAAGTAGATAAATGGGTACCACTGCGGTGGGAAGGTAAACGGCGTTCCCATGTGCTCTGTTTTCCGTCACGGTGTCCTGTTGCACCAGAAGCAGTCATGCTGGCCACATGACCTGGAAAGCTGTCTGTGGGCAAACGCTGGCTCCCTCGGCCTGAAAGCGAGATGAGCGCTGCAATCCCATATTCGCCTTTGACCGGACTGAACTGTCCAGGGGTCCTTTACCCCCTTTTTAAAGAGACGAAACTGCAGAAAACAAGGTGCAAAGAAGGGAGGAGGAAGATAAAGCAGTTGGGCTGGAAAACTGAGTATCCTGAAGTGAGCGGAAGAACAAACGTATATGGCCCTATATTTATACTTCAGTGACTTTTTCCTATGTACAGTGGTACCTCTGGATATGAATTTAATTTGTTCCGGAGGTCCGTTCTTACCCCAAAACATTTGCATCCAGAGGTGCCTGTTCTGCGCAGGTGTGTGGGTAACCCGCTTCTGCATAGGCGTGGGCGGCGGAAACCTTTCTGTTATTTCTGGGTTTGCCCCGTGCGTATCCTGAAGTATTTGCAAAGGGGACAGTACTTAACCCAAGGTTCCACTGTATATAGTTATGTGTATATTTCTGTGCTCAGCTGTTAGGATTTCAGAGGATGATAATAGGTTGTGCATAAAATTCATTTTAAACGGCATTAATTTCTCTCATCCTTTGTGTTTGTCATTCTGCAGCGTCTACTGGCCTTTATTTGTTTTGATATTTTACTTCATAAGTCCTATTCCCCACTTCATCACAAAAAGAGTAAGCGATGATACTGATGCCGCAAGCAGCGCCTGCAGGGAGTTGGCATGTTTCTTCACGACTGGAATTGTGGTTTCTGCCTTTGCGTTTCCTATTATCCTTGCACGCGTTGAAGTGGTAAGGTCTTATCACAAGAAAAGTTTATATGTCACCTTTTGACCCCTCACAGTCCTGGGCAAAATACAACATCCCACTCTTCTGATTGCTTCATTAGCACAAGCATTTCAGCTTGCCATATGGAATGACCCCCCCCAAAAAAATCCTTCCCCTGTATGCTGTTTCCTCACATTCAGTCAAAAAAATATTTTTTTTGGGGGGGGGGAGCTTGGTGCTCAAGCGGAAGTCCTTGCACAGGGCTTCTACTGATGAGAGTCATTAGGTAAATCCCACGCCCTGTTTTTCTGGTGTATGGCACATTGCCTTGCAGATAAACACTTCACAAAATGAGTCATCTTAATGTCTTCTGGTTAAGTTGCTGCTCACAGTAAACCAGACAAAGCACCAAGCATAATTTCACAAATGTCACTGTGAGTGATGCTGCTGCCCCACTTTGGTTTTTTTTTAAAGAAAAGTTTACATTAAAAAAAAAATCCTCAGCACTGTAAATAGAAGTCCTGGGTGAGGCAGCCACTGCTAACTTCTCAGGTGAGGGGTAGGACGCAGAGTAACTGAGGATAAAGAAAGTTATCCCAACACTTTTTCAGACCCTCTCAGGAATCCACAGAGGCCTGGATGCTTCTGGTTCTTGAGGTGCCCAGCCATAATAACAAAATGTCAATACATGAAAACAAAAAAAGCACTAAAAAGAGTGCAACGTTAAATAAGTTATTTAACAAATGATTCTTCTAACATATGCCTTTTACCAGATCACCTCTTGTTTAAATTTTCAGCTGTGTGCTGTGTGATAGTGTCACATTTACGTCCAGTGTGCATAAAAGCGAGTTGTCAAATGCCAAAAGATTAACAAGTGACTAAATATAAGCCCCCCTTTGAACTTGTAGCCCAAGCTGAACAGCCTTGGATTTGCCCTGCCCTTGCAGTTACAGTTCTGAGTGAGGAAGTTGCTGTTAATGCCATTAATTTCTTTAGTCCCCATATCTCTGGGCTCAGACCCTGACATGCACTGGGGATGGAGCCCAGAGGTACTGTGAATGACTGTGATTGTAGCTGACTCAGCCAGTGTTGTAAAAAAAATAGTGCCGGGTGTGAGGCAGACACAGATGCTAATAACTTCCTTATTCACATTGTCTCTGGAATCCAGCATGAACACGAGAGGGCAAAAAGTTTGTAGTGAGCTGTGCTGTGGGTGTGGGTGGGTGTGTACATGTACATGTACATACAGATGTCAGCTCCTTCACTCCTAACCTTCATGTGTTTAGTGTTAAGGCCTGAAGAGGGCTTCTTAAGTGCACTTGGCTGAACCCCCATTTTGCCCTCAGACTGAAGCAGAATGATAACCTTTTAATAATAATAATAATAATAATAATAATAATAATAATATTTTATTTATACCCCGCCCTCCCCAGCCAAGGCCGGGTTCAGGGCGGCTAACAAGCAATAATAAAAACAAGTTGAATGATTACAACTTAAAACAAAATTAAAATACAATATTAAAATATTGAAACATTAAAATATTAAAATGCCTCATTAAAATGCCTCATCGCAGGAGGAGAAGGAAAAGAAAAAAGAAAGAGAGGGAATCAAATTGGCTCCAAGCCAAAGGCCAGGCGGAACAACTCTGTCTTACAGGCCCTGCGGAAAGAAATCAGATCCTGCAGGGCCCTGGTCTCATGAGGCAGAGCGTTCCACCAGGCCGGAGCCAGAGTTGAAAAGGCCCTGGCTCTGGTTGAAGCTAATCTAACTTCCTTAGGGCCTGGGACTGTTAAGTCGTGGGTTGACATAGCAGCCGGCACAGCGATTTCTTCAAGTAGCTCTTTATTCTGGTAAGCTGGAATAGAACTGACTCGAACAGCTCAGCCGGCCTGTATTTATAGGCAGCCGGCTGTCAACATTGTAACCACAACAGCCCAGAGTTCCCGCCTAAAATAACTGGCGCGGACCTGAGTGAAAACTATCTACAGACCTGAGTGAAAACTATATACAGTATCCCCCTGTTGGCCCAGGGTGAAACTACACTACATAACACACCTCCCCACCGAGATAAGGCGTTAGTTACAATCGTAATGGTTTCCTTATATACAGCACTACGCGTAATGGTTCAATTAGGCACAAAAGCATATCGGTTACATTTCCCATAGTTAGACTAACAGTGATACCTGTCCAACAACATAGTCCTTTAAATGAGTTGGGCGCTTGGAAACTCTGCCAGACCGCCGGGGACTGGTAGCCAAGTCCGGAGGGCCACACAGTTCTCGCTGAGGCTGTGGTGCGACCCTAGGTGGCGTTGGAACCAACTCCCCTGGATCCGCTGCTGAGAGTGGAGCCTCCGCAAGTGGAGTGGTCTGAGTCTGTTCTGAAACGGCTTGGTTCGGCTCCACGCTGGCAGTTTGCGAGGGAGGTGTAGGTGGGGCCTCGCCATCTGTACGTGTCTCTTCTGGAGCCGCAAGCGCAGTTGGGGGCACCTCGGTAGTGTCCAAGTCCCCAACCCTGCGCCTAAGCTGGTCTATGTGCCGTCGCCACAAGCGTCCGTCTTCGAGTGCCACCTGGTACGAGTGAGGTCCAGTGACTCCCACTACTGTGGCTGGCACCCAAGGGATGTCCCCCACATAGTTCCGGGCAAAGACCTGGTTTCCCGGGACGAATGACCGTGGTGCGTTGGCACAGCCTGGGGGTTCAGCCACGGCAAAGTCTGGGTGTAGCCGGTCGAGCGGTGACCTGAGGCGGCGGCCCATAAGCAGTTCCGCAGGACTCCTCCCTGTGGCCGCATGAGGGGTGATGTGTTGCGCGAACAAGTATTCGGCGACCCGCTCATGCCAGTCTCCCCGGTCCAGGCGCGCCAGTGCCTCTTTTGTCGAGCGCACCATTCTTTCCGCTTGCCCGTTGCTGGATGGATGAAAGGGTGCCGTTAGGGCATGGCGGATGCCCAGTCCCAAAAGATACCGCTCAAACGTGCCTGATGTGAACTGCGGTCCGTTGTCAGAGACAAGGACATCAGGACACCCATGCGTTGCAAACAGGCCTCGCAGCACCCGGATGACAACTTCGGTAGTGGTGGAGGGCATCAGGGCGACCTCCAGCCATTTGGAATAGGCGTCTACCACTACCATAAAGGTCCGGCCGTGAAAGGGGCCAGCCAGATCGATGTGCACCCTCGACCAGGGTGTCTTTGGCGTCTCCCAGGTGTGTCCCTTAGCTGCCGGTGGTGCAGGCCTCGACTCCTGGCACGCTTGACAGGCGGACACCCAGGCAGTGATGGCATCGTCCATATTAGGCCACCAGACGTAACACCGAGCCAACGCCTTCATTTTGACAATTCCCGGGTGGCCAACGTGCAGAGCCTCCAGGACGCGCTGACGGAGTCCCTGGGGAATCACGACGCGGTCTCCCCACAGCAGACAGCCGCGATGAGCTGAGAGTTCATGTTGTCTGGTTGCGAAGGGCTGGAACTCCGATGCAAAGGGCCCTTGTGGCCACCCCCTCCACACCCAGTTGAGCACCCGGCTGATGGTGCGATCCTGGGCAGATGCGGAGGCCACAGTGGCAGCCGATACAGGCGCTGCCGGAAGATCCTCAATCAGAAGGAGCGATGAAGCTGGAGCCGGGTCTTCCACAATTGCTGGAAGAGGGCAACGGCTGAAGGCGTCGGCATGGCCCATCGATTTCCCCGGGCGGTGGATGAGCCGGTAGTGGTAGGCAGCCAGGAAAACAGTCCATCGCAGCATGCGTGGTGAGAGGACCGGTGGAGTTGGACGATCACCGGCAAGGAGGCCCAGGAGTGGCTTGTGGTCAGTGATGAGGTCAAAAGTCCTGCCATAGAGGTATTCATGGAACCTCTTCACTCCAGCCACAAGTGCCAATGCCTCCTTGTCGAGCTGGCTGTAATTCCGTTCCGTCGGAGATAGTGTCCTGGAAAAGTAGGCGAGCGGTGCTTCTCTTCCATCTGGAAAACGGTGACTAAGGACAGCACCGATGCCAAAAGGTGAGGCGTCGCAGGCAAGGACCAGCGGCCTGGATTCACTGTACTGTACCAGCACACTGTCTGAAGAAAGGAGAGCCTTGACCGCGTTGAAGGCCGCCGTCTCCCGATGACCCCAGGCCCAAGGCGTCTTAGTGCTAAGGAGTCGGTGAAGAGGCTCAGCCACTGTGGCTTTGTGGGGCAGGAACATGTTATAAAAGTTCAGCAGCCCCAGGAACGCCTGCAACTCCGTTTTGTTCTTTGGAGTGGGGGCCTGCTGGATAGCGCGGATCTTGGATGTGGTTGGATGAAGACCGGAGGCATCGATAAGATAGCCCAGGAACTCTACCTGTGGAACGGCGATCTGGCACTTCTCCCTCTTTACCTTGAGCCCGGCCTCCTGGAACCTGGTCAGCACGGCACGGAGGCGCTCGAACAGCTGCTGGTGTGAGTCTGCAGACACCAAGACGTCATCAAAATATGGTACCACGCCCGGAAGCCCTTGCAGGAGACGCTCCATAAGGCTTTGGAAGATGCCAGGAGCCACACTCACCCCGAACTGCAACCGGCGGCAACGGAATGCCCCCCGGTGGGTGACGATCGTCTGGGCTTCAGCAGTGGCATCATCGACTGGCAGTTGTTGATAGGCTTGGGCAAGGTCCAGCTTAGCGAAGACCTTACCCTCACCCAGGGAATGCAGCAGGTGTTGGACAACAGGAACCGGATAAGCGTGCTGCTGAAGTGCCTTGTTGATCGTGCACTTGTAGTCAGCGCAGATTCTCACCGACCCATCTGGCTTGACAGGCGTGACGATGGGGGTTTCCCACTTTGCGTGGTCAACCGGCTCCAAAACTCCTTGGGCGATCAGTTTGTCCAGTTGTTCGTCCACCTTAGCCTTGAGAGCAAAGGGAACCCGGCGTGGCTTTAGCTTGATGGGGGCGACTTGTGGATCAAGGCTAAAGGAGATGGGCGTACCTGTATATTGGCCCAAGGTGCCGTCAAAAACCTCGGCAAAGTCTTTGACCAGACCCTCAGTCTCTGC